GGTATAGATGAGCATACCCTAACAGCTACATTCAATGTAATATCAATGTAATTTGAACTTGCATATATTTTTTCCCTAATCATAGAGAATGTTGTTGTAACAACAATAACCATTTTCTCCGTGTGGACAACTATGTATTAAAAACACTAATCTTATTGAAAAATAATTGTGCGAAATATTTAGCTAAAGAAGTAAAATAATTTCTATTCTATTAAATGTTCTGCTGTAATGGTGAATAATTTTAATAATGTATAATAAAGAAATTTTCGTATCGTCATCACGTTATTATCAAATATGACAGTATTCAAGTAGCAGCAACAGTTTTGCTGCAACAGCAAAATTATTTTTTTCCGTGCGTATTATTGAAAGTCTATAAGTATGAAATAATATGTAGTGTAAAAATAATAAACAAAAAGTAAACACAAAAATAATGTTTTCTTACACGAAAACGAAAGATTAGCTACTAACAGCTAACATTTTTTTGCAGTGAGAACTATTACTTTTATAATAGTGGCAAAAGGTTTTACAACTATTACCAAGCAAACATTATTTTTATGTTTACTTTTTGTTTATTAGTTTTACCCCACGCATTATTTCATACTTATAGACTTTCAATAATACGCACGGAAGAAAATAATTTTGTTGTTGCAGCAAAATTGTTGCTGCTACTTGAATATTGCCATATTTGATAATAACGTGATGACGATACGAAAATTTCTTTATTATACATTATTAAAATTATTCACCATTACAGCAGAACGTTTAATAGAACAGAAATTATTTTACTTCTTTAGCTAAATATTTCGCACAATTATTTTTCAATAGGATTAGTGTTTTTAACACATAGTTGTCCATAAAAGAGAAAATAACTTAATCATAAAATAAGAGACAAAATTTACTTAAGTTTCACTTTGTTGGGGAAACAAAACAGTTTTGTTGGGAGGACAAAACAATTTTGTTGGAGGAACAAAACGATTTTGTTAGAATTACTATAAGTTTTTCCTACTATATTATATGTATATTATAGTATATTTCTAGTATATTTAGTAGTCGCCGGTAACGTCGAACGTGTGCTCCGGTGGTACCCCAGCTCGCGGTTAGATGGCAATAGACCCGAGTCTCTGCTCGAACCGGAGCGGAGTCTGCGAAGCTGATCAGGAGCTGACGTGTCTCCTCGCCGCGCGCGAATCAATGAATGCCCGCGGCACACATGTGCGTGCGTATACATATTTCATTCAGGTTCATTCAACGTGGGGCCTGCTGAAAGCACTTCGTAGACCGGGGACAAAAAGAGAGAGCGAATTGCCATTTATAACAAAATTGCTCCGGCCACCTATATACACGTTCCATTTATTCTCGCACCTAGCTGTCTCGCGGCCGCGGAGGCGCGATACCCGCGGATTTCGTAACTTTGCAAAATCGTGCGCAACGCTCACGATCGCGCTGCGAGATTTAACAATTGATCGTAATAATAGTTGCGACGATCGAGCGCGGAGGAACTGCTCCGTTTTTCGCTCAAAGGATAGAAGATATATCGTTCCGCGATTCTTTGAGCGGTTCTTTATTTCGTCGCGAACGCGTCGATTAGTCTCGACGCAGGTAGATTTTAACGTCCACAATATCCTCGCGGAAATTGCGATAACGTCGATCGGGCCGATTCGCTTATCGACTCGAGCGAAAAGCCCGACTCATTCCGGTAGCATGTCTTTATACATTTGCTTGGTCCACCGATATATCATGACAACCGCAATGCGGTTCTTCATAAACGACCGTCTATTTCTGAGTTTGTCGCGTAATGCCGCTTTATTACACGACGATTCGGTTGCAAATCCGATTTCGATTGCCAAGGAGACGTGTCTGCCTTCGCGAATCAAGGGGACAGCGAAATAGAGAGATCTCGTATAATTCGAGGGAAATCGCTTTGGTTGCGCAACGTTATTGGCGGCAACCGGCGTTGCAATAATTTCCTCTCGAAATACTCTGAAATATACTTGGTTGCGGACGACCCGTTTAATTATCACTGTCCATTTCCGAGATCATTTCAACGCGAATATTTTTAGCACCGTCTCGTTTCGGGCGAAAGTAAGAACACTGGTTAAAAAATGCGTTATTTCACACGCCATGAAATCCTGATCTCTCTTTAATGCGGCGTTTACAATAAGATTTTTAAGATTTAAGGTTTAAGAAAGTGACCTATCACTACGGAATGTGAAGAGAATAATCGACTGCGATTGGTCATTTTCTTAAATCTTACGTCTTAAAGATCTACGTCTTAAAGAAAGTTACTCAGTGGATTATTACTGATAACAGTTTGTTATAAATATAGCACTGAATAATTCACTGCTGTACTTATAACTGTTTTTAGTGATAATGCACTGATTGACTTTTAAGCCTAATCTACAATGTACTTTCTGCGTCTAAGAACATTCTACCTTGCAGTCAATAGATACGTTTAAATAATTTGTGCAAACTGATAAAATGTATATTATATACTGTACAATCGTGCATCATCGACAAATTTTTTAAGTGTTTTGATTTGTTTCACATTGTAGATTAGACTTTAGAGAGATATGATGCGAAACTGACAATGAGTGTAGTGGTAAATTAAAAGGTAATATTTTTAACTTACACAATGCATCTTTGTTTTCCTTATTGTTCGTTCGTAATAATAAAGGAAATTTACAGCGTATGCACAGCTGTCGATAACGATCTGTCCTTTATTTGCAGTTGGACTGCTCGCGTTGAAGCTGTCGTTCTATTTTATAATGTCAAACGGCTTGTTTCACCAAAGCTGCAATTATTCTCAACATTTGAAACCCGGGAGCACCTATTATGTGTACAATTCTGACTATCCCGACGTCTCCAACGGTCGACAGCACTGCAAGTGGATCGCGAAAAGTGATTACCGCGTTAGATTGACGTGCAACAATTTCAACATACCATGGGTGAGATTTGCGTTTTGTGTTTAATATCGGACGTGATTACCGAAAGATATGTATCACAACTGTCGATTCGTATCCGTGAAAAGAATAATTTAATTTTCTGAGCTTCAAATCGTTACAGCAATGTCGAAACTAATTCGAAAATTATTCGATCGTTGTTAATTAGTAGAGGAAAGTCCCTTATTATGAGATAAGCTTTTAATATGAGACAGCGGAGTTTCTGCTAAATTAATAGTAGCATCATCTGTTGATTTCATCATGAATTTATTGTCTTTGTGAAATCTGTTCAGTGGAAAATTCATTATGAAATCATGTAATCGTTACGAAAGAAGATTTGTGATTGTATTTGGATATTGAAAACCTGCTATCTCATATTAGAAGCCTATCTCACATAATAAGAGATTTTCCTGTATTACAAATAAATTATCAAATTTTCACGACGATATTCAGACTATTTTTCTTCGCAGAACCTTAGATGCGCCTTAGATAAACTAACCGTGTATGTGAACGACTCCGTGTCTTATTCTTATTGCGGCAACGAGACATTTAGCGTAGAATCGACAGGAGAATTAATGACCATTGAATTATCAATCTCCCTCTGGTCGTCGGGAGTTAAGTTCCTGTGCGAGTTACAAGCGCTCGACGAAATAGGGAATGACGATTGCAGATGCGGATGGAAAAAGCCGGTACGCGCTTACAATCGATATAATGAATACAATTAGATTCGACCTGTACACGCTATACTTAGAAACTTGTACGAACTTTTTCTTCTAATCTTAATTATCCGTCGCAGACGAAGATAGTAGGAGGCATGGAAACTGGCGTGAACGAGTACCCCATGATGGCTGGCCTCGTCGATCCTTTTCAGCGAGACGTATTCTGCGGGGCGACTATTATCTCCGAAAGACACGTAATAACCGCCGCGCATTGTTTGACCGATAGAAACCCAAATAATATTGGCGTACTTGTGGGAGATCACGATCTCAGCACAGGTAAAAACAAATGCGTTTCTTTCAAGAATAAATTTTTCTCCAATTCAATTTCTATAATAAGAGAAAAGTCCTCTATTATGAGATAGGATTCTGATGATTTTTAATGTCCAAATTCAATCACAAATCTTTTCTCGTAACAATTATACGATCTAACAATCAATTTTCCACTAAACAGATTTCACTCCAAAGGCAATAAATTCATGGTGGAACCAACAGATGATGCCTATTAATTTAGCAGAAACTTCGCTATCTCATATTAGGGGATTTGCCTCTACTTTAAAATTTAAGTAAAGTATAAATTAAATATTTAAGAAATTAAATAGTAAAATTTTCGCAAATATGCTCGTGCAGATCTTAAAGAGATATTCTGAACAATCTTTATCCGATTAAAATTCAAGTATTCGATAAAAAATATATCGTGAACTTGTTCGGCGCTTTAATTACGGTAATCTGAGACTTTTAACATTTCAGGTGCAGATACAAATGCCTCGCGCCTCTACACTGTTTCCAGATTTTACGTGCACCCTGTTTATAATAGCGTATCCTTGGAAAATGACATAGCTATAGTAATGGTGAATTCCGTTATAAGTTTCAGCGAAGAGATTGAACCGGTTTGTCTTCCGTTTCAACATCAGTACGACTCTTTTGCAGGAAGTTACGTGGAATTGTTGGGTGAGGCAATATTGTCGCAGCAACACAATTATTATCTAAGCAACTTAACGTATTTTTAAACACTTTGTCCCATATTCTGAATCCTCTTTTATCGTTAAAAGTGCCACTAAAATTGGTTTTGAAGGATTTTTATTGGTTGAAAGGATTTTTTATGGACGCTTTTATCGACAAAAGAGGATTCCGAATATGGGCCGTTTTAAATTTTCGTTGTTTCGCGTTGATTTTTAAACAATAAATTTTCAAGTGTTGATTTTCATGTTTGATCATTCGATTGGGTCAAAACAGGTTGGGGAACGACACAGTTCGGAGGAACAAAGTCTACAACTTTACAGAAGGTTACGTTAACCGTGATTACGAATCGGGATTGTCGTCGAGAGTATCCGAATGTTTCATACAGTCAACTGTGCACTTACGGGAGAGGAAAAGACGCGTGTCAGGTAGCGTAGGAAATTTTACAGTAATTATTGCAAAATAAATATGCACTTTCGCATTCGTGTCTTTCGTTACAGTTCGACAGCGGTGGTCCCGATCTTTGGCAGAATCCCACGACGAAGCGAGAGGTTCTCGTGGGTATCATCAGTTCCGGGTTCGGTTGCGGCAATGATGAGCCAGGAATCAACACGCGTGTCGGTACATACATAGATTGGATCTTAGCTGTAACGCCGGGTAAGTGCACGAAGTGTACAGCACGTTGCGCCCCATTGACGGTTTATTTATCCTACGACACTTAAATTATTTATATCTTCTTACAGGTACCCAATACTGCATGCCCGAATAAGAAGCGTGCATGTAAACGGAAATGTATAAAGATTTGCTTACAATTTATTATCTTAGATATTCTTCCAATTTACCGCGGGTTATTTATACGTGATGCATTTTTAAGATTGTCATTTCTCATCTGATTATTTATGTAATTTTTATGTAATTTCGAAGTTACGCCAATTAATACAATGCTTTTGGCTCACGTAATATTTGGCATACGCAATATTAATTTACGGACCGAAATGTATATTCTTGATTTATCCTCAACGTGGTACATCAAAATGCACTTCATCTGCTTTTAAAATGCTATAATCAATATCAATTTGAATTACACAGTTAATAATTAATAACAGACTGCAGATGCATGTCAAATAGCTTCGAGCGAATATTTGTAACAATATATTTTTACATGTGTGCACCGCATTAGTACGTGCTGGTATAAACGATGTTCCGAAATAATTGGATTTGCTTATTCATTGGAAAGAGTTACGGGACGTAAATTGCGCACGACGGTTCCAACACATCATTATTTCACCCGATATACGTGTGCACGCTTACGAGAACTTTGATTGTCCTTAATAGGGATTTCCATGGTGTAGAAGGATCAACATTGACGACTCGTAAACAATGTCTCATTATTAATAAATTCCTGAATGAGGATGTGACGTGAAACCGTCTATGGGAGGGAATGGTCTATGGTAAACGTCCACTTACACCGACCAATGTAGTATCACATTAGCTTACTTGCCATGGCGCAATGTGTACCGAAGATTTATATCATGCTCTTACTGCGAGGGGGGTACAGAAATAAAATATGCAACATGAATAAAGACAGTACGATACTCTGATAAAATTGCAGACTGCAAGAAGTGATCGACTGACGAAGAAGTTTTTGCCACAGAAATCGATTCTCCTAAACTGTTGTGTTGTTTTATCTCACTCCTGCTTGTGTCGATCGATCTCTCTCGCAAGGTCGTATCTCGATTTTATGCAATTTTTCGGTTTTTGTGCTCGAACGCTCATTCTCGACCAGAAATTGCATAAAATCGAGATACGACCTTACGAGAGAGATCAGTCGATATACCAAAAATGAATAATATTTATATTTTTCATACGTTCACAAAAATATATTCTGTCGTGCCGTTATAACGAGTATTCTCGCGGAACAAATCTTTTACGAGCGCGTATCAGTAATAATAGTTTCGTGATTGCGGCATACATTTATTAAACAAATTGATTTCTTCGATATGCATCGCGGTAATGCATCCTTGACATAGTTGTTGACCCAATGATAGTACGCAAATAGATATATTCTTCTCATTGTGACAGAACTCTAATATGAAAAACTGTTCGCGAGAAAATACGCTTTTCCTAAGGGAGATTGAAATATTTTACATTACCAGAGATATTATTGACAAACCCAATTGTATTTTGGAAAAACCAGATGGTCTAGTTGCTTCTATTTCATACATCCTTGCAAACTTGACAGATTAAAAATGTTCTCAACTAATGATATTCTCTCTCTTTCTCTTTCTTTGTAAAAAAATTAAAAATTAAAATGTAACGTTCAATGTCAAGAATCGAATATTTCATCGTGAGAACTTGGTGAACTAGGCCCGTTACCGGTTCACGGCTTGTATAATCCTCGTTTATTCCTGAGGGACACGGTACCATTCAGAATAATAATACAAAAATACCTTACACCGAGGCGCAGAAAGAAATTGAATGACCATTGTGAGGACGGGCTTGTATAACCACTTTAGTATGCGATGCTAGATGAATGGTAAAGGTACGAGCGTAGGTACCTACGTCCTTATTTTACGCGCGAAGGATGTGCGCGGCGAAAGATGATCTGCTCGCCGTGAATTCTTCCTTTCGAGTTTCAATTTCTGCAGCGGTAAAAAATAAAGCTGGGCTCTCTCGTAAACAGGAAGAAAAATCATAATCAAATCCTGTGCGTCATTCGCGACCACCATCGTTCGGTCGCCCATCGCATTTAGCACGGTGCATTGAACAGCAAGGACACGTATTGCTCATTACGTGCACGCGTCGTTATGTATTGTATAACATTGTTTCGAACTGTCTTTATTCCTACATTTGAATTATTTACAACGAACGCATGTTCATGGAGTGTATATAATATATTTGGAAACATGAAAGTAAATTACGCAGCGTCACTAATACGAATTTTACAAATTAAGGAAGGAATTTTACAATGAAGGAGACTAAAGATACAAACGTCCGTATGTACTATTGTATTGTATTACCGTCGGTATTGTATTCAATACGGACTGCGTCTCATTATTTTATTTATCTTAAGAATTTATATCCTTTGTAATCTTATTGTTAGTAAAATATACATTACTAAAAATATTTTTCTGCTGTATGTCTGTACGACGTATTGTAACGTATACATGTTAATGCATAACGTATTGTACTGTGTACGTAATAGATAGCAAGCTGACGAGACTCGCATTTTTCATTATGTTTCACCGTTAATATTTTAGCCGTCCGAACTGATTTGTAGGCGGAAAATTACTTCCAAGGTTTACGCGATATTATGCAAGCACCGCTCGCGACATTGGTGCGCCATAATCAGCGCATGTGTCGCGGCGAAAAGAAAGATAGGCGGTATATCGGATTTCCAGACGGCTCAGCGTTCAATGCACGAAGTAGCACAACTTGTAAGCGGATTTTCTGGAATGCCATCTGAAATACTTCGTTAAACATTTTGCGTTTTTTTTTTCTACTCAAAGTTTCAGCGTGCATACGTGAAGATCCAAGTTTACTCGGCGCGGGTCACCAAAAGCGGAACGTCGCGACGGTCATTACTGGTTGTACAACTGACACGGTTATGAGTATATCCAATAATGTTGTTCGATGCAAATGAGGTAAACGGTGATACACGGATAGCGAAGAACTCGAGAACAAGGTCAAAAGGTTACGCGACCGCTTACGTAACTCGACGAGGCTACTAACTGACCCGCCTCTATGTACCTGTGCATATAGCAGGTACGGACAGATCCCGGCGAAACGTTTTGTCTCCTAGAGATAGTACAGTAACTATAGCGCCGAATGACGTCATGGTGTGATCGGGATGGCCTTTAGTTACCGACGTCATGAGCTTGCCAAGAATCTGAGAAATTTTGCCAAGAGATAATAGGAGCCAACGTGTCCTTTTAATGATAAGGTATGAAACACATATAAAAACTGTTACAATAAATGTGTGGAAGTAAAAAAGGGAAAAGCTGGATTAATTTTGTTCTCAATCTCGCTTTCGATTCGTCTCGAGATATTTAGGGTGAACTTGAGTTCGCCAGAGATTTTTGCTAAACGATTACCTCAGCGAAAATTGCTTTTTCTTTTCGAAGGGGATGAAGTGGTTTGGACGAGGCTTAAGATGCTCTCGGACGCCCGGAAGGCCTAGTTACGAGGATGCTGCGGAGACTTTTCGATCGAAGCGGTTACGAGGGAAAACGACGACGCGTGGGAAGCTGCGCGGCCGCCGAATGTGTCTCCGCTACCCCGTTAATGGAACAACAATCCGATCGATGGCGCCAGTTCGTCGGTTTGAACTACCCTTGCCACCCCAGAAGAGGCCCGCGAAGTTCAAACGAGCCGAGGCGCACGTCACTGAAACGTAAGCGAGGAGGGAAAAACATTTCCATCATCTTGGCGCGCTGAAAGATCAATGGGAATGCGCACACAAAACAATTAGCGAAACATTTCAACGAGGAGTCGTGACGCAGATCGGCGATTTATCTCTAAATTTACACTGGCGCTCGTCATCCCTCAGCGGCCGTCGTTGGGAGAAGCAATAGGACGGGATTATCGCACAAGCTGATCGATAAAAATCCAAGTCGCTGTTCATTTACTAATTTCGATTTACAATTGAACTTGCGATCCAGATTACATCTCTAATATAATCGCTGAACTTTGGAACCGTGGAAGGAAGAAGTCGCGCCTGGGTGTCTGAAGTAGTTTTTCACCCCATTTTGATGCGAACCGTCGCCTCTTCTGCTCTATAATATAATAAGATAACAACGCTCGCGCTACCCGGCTCTTCACCGTTTAAAAGGGGTCGGTCGGCCGGCGTATGCGCGTACGAACACAATTACCGCGGCCAATCGGGGGACCGGACCACCGGTAGAACGAACCTTCGTCGTATTGTACAGACGTCGATGTCGCTCCAGAGGTTCCCGTTCCGTAGGTCTGCTCCCTCGCGCACACCGTCGCGCACTAGCGTCGGCTCAGTCCGATATTGACGTTCGTACGAGGCGCACATCCACCGAGCCGGAGCACGCACGGTTCACGAAATTTTACGCGGGCTCCTCGCCGATCGCGCTTCTCGCATTTCCTGCTGACGGGATCCGTTGTAACAACCAAAAGCGAGGAAAACGGACACTGACTCGACTGACGGGGCAGCAAGGAGCGGTACACATGGGTACCAAATGCCTCGGCAGTCTCGCTCTTCAACGACACACGCGCGTCCGCAGCGACGTCAGTCCGACCCGTCCGGGGATCACCGAGTTTAAATAATAAACTCGCCGATAATAAGTTCACCGAGACCTTGTACTAAATCTGAAACAACGACAACGACGACGACGACGAAGGCGGCGGCGGCGGAGACGGCGACGACGACGACGAGAGGCGCAACGTCTTCCTCGCGCGCGGAGTCGAGCCGAGGGAGACCAACTATGATGCTGGACTCGTGACTTCCGACTACATCGATTCGCAAACGGCAGCGACTTAAGGGCATCCGATTCATGAAGCAGGAAGACTACCGTCGACACCGACCACGACCGAAGCTGAAGAGGCACTCGTTTAAGGGCTGACGAGACCAACACACCCCCTGTGACAATCGAGCCGCTTTGCATCCCGAATATCGTGTCACGTCGCTTCGAGAAGCCAGAAATTAGAATCGTCCCTCTTTCTTTCCTCCCTTCCTCTCTCTTTCTCTTTCTGTCTCGCTCTTTCCTCCTCTCCTCTCTGACGCTCAACCCTCAATTCGGTATCTCGCTTCCGCGCGGAGGATCGATATTTCGTCCCGACGGCGGCTATTAACGACACGCGTACTTTCATTCGCCCCCTCTCTCACTCCGTTTTTCACGCTACGATTGCTTCCAAACGTAACGTTAGGTGCGCCAACCCCCGGCTGCCAACCCGTCGCTTCTTCCGTCAATGTCAGGTAGCGCGTGCCGAAGGCCCGGGTATCGCTCCAACCCCCGATCGGCCGTCGATATCCTTCGACAGCGCGAGGACTGGTAACACGTGACCCCCGGATTCCCTCGTAACTCGCGTATCGCGTCGGCCGGCGCTCGATTTTTATCGGGTCACCTACGTGCCACCCGCCCACTCTGTTTCGCCAAGAGGTCCTACCCTATCCTATGACGTATCCTTCCTCGTACCTCGCGCCCTTGTCATCCTGCCTCAGCCCGCCTCTACGCGGCCGCGTATGCGTCCGCAAACAGTCAATAAGGAGTACCGTCGGGGCACGCACGTACCAGAAAGGGACGGACGGGACTCGGACGAGAGACCATTCCTCTCATCGCGGAGACCGAGTGCACGCTTAATATTAAGAAACGAATTGTTACTGGTTACACACCTCGACGGGGGCGAGGCCGATATCTCAGTATTTTTTCGGACGCGATAGTGCGGACGCTGTTGACATTACGAATTAAGTGAAAGCTAACTACTGTTGCTGCTGTTATTGTTATTGTTGTTTAACGTTATTGTTATATCCCGTTATTGCTGCACGGCTCGCCGCCCATCCGCTCCCGCACGAGTCGACGAAGAGCGCGCGGCGGTGGTAGTTGCCTCTGCGCGAGATCTGCGAGGGGTTCGCGTCAGCTCGCGGACGCGAAGATACCGCGTGTCTCTGCCAAATCGCGTCGGTAGATCGTCGGCGGAGCGGAAGACCCCGGGGATATTCGTGTGTACACGGGAAAAAGGAAATAAACAGCCGGCAGGAAGTGGCGGTGAGAAGTGGCACGTGGGGGCGAGCCTGGCAAACAAACCCGAGGAGGTGCGCTAAAGATCTCAATTAAGTACACCACCCGCTAGGAAGCGAGTGATCGGTGATTCTCTGTGTACCCATCGGGATCCACGGGAGAATGGTAGCCGAGACCGGAAGAAATGGGCACGAGCTGGCTCCCTTGAACAACCACCGCCAATCCGGCCACAACGTGACGATCGTGGCGACCGGAAGTCAACATGTTGGCACCGTCCAGGAGACGAAGGAGGAGAACAGGGCGGCATGGAGCGGGAAAATGCAATTCTTTCTCAGTATTATTGGATACAGCGTCGGCCTGGGCAATATCTGGAGGTTTCCTTATCTGTGCCAACAGAACGGAGGTGGTGAGTGTCGATTAAGTCCGAGCGCGACGCGCAGGTCGTGCAAATTATCGTGCTAGACTCGCGACCAGAAATTATGCCTACTTGGAATTTACTCGTAAATGTGGAGCAAATGTATTTTAACGTGCAGGCCTGTTTGTGTTATTATTGGTAAGCTGTGTGTTTTTATTTTCACGACCTTCGTGTGCAGCAGGCGGCACCACGGGGTGTTCTTGAACCATGTGCGTGTCAACGGATAGCTAGGTAAACTCCAGTTTCCCACGTGTACGAGCGCACCTATAATGTCTGAGTATATTATAGATACATATATCTCTTGTGCAGTAGCCACGTTGATGCAGCCTCGGGATAGCATTTTTTTTCACGCAGATATACTGTAAAGTAGAGAATATCTATACCACTTACAAGATTATATTTGCCCGATAACAAGGGCCTGATAATAAATTAAGTCATATTCGTTAACTTATACCGAGCAAAAATTTCATCGGCTAAACCAATTGAATAGTGCTTCCGATTACGTTTACCGGTTAAAATACGGATACATCCGATGAAATTTGATTGAAAAACCGATCGCATTTTTCATCGGATATACCCGTTTGTTATTATGTAATTGGATTATTCAACTATATTTAATCGGACATTTTTCTCAATGTTCTTAAAAATTCTACATCCGCGAAACTAGAAGCTGTGGAATTTCCGTTTATAAATTGCACGCGTTAATCAGTTGAAATTTGTGGAAGCCTCATATACCACTCGACTAAAAGAAACATAGGGCGTTCGTTTACGTAGCGACTGTCGCGGGTAGTATCGTTCTGTCTTCGCAATATCAAATATCAAACAGATTGCGGATAATCGCGAATGCACCCATAGATTTTCTCTCCTATCGTTCACCTTCCAAGAATTCGGCCTTCTACAGACGTTCGATCAAACGTCAGGTTTCCAAGAAGCGTGAAATTTATTTATCTGAATTATTTACGCCGAATTGCCCGATACGCGACGAGTGTTGACGTACGTCGTAAAGTTGCATACATTGGAAATAAGTTGTTGCAACTCACGGCCGTCGTCGGTCTCCACGGCGTCGGATGTAAAGCGAAAAAGAGCAAGGACAAGGCTGCTCGATATGAGGGCAGTGGAGCCGGTATAAGCGCATGGCTATACTAGTCGACGACTATTTTCAGGTATCCTACAGTTCCACGCCGCGGTTAAATATAACTGCCACGAAATATTTCGCGTGCCGACATCCTTGGAGACGCATTTTCCTTCTATCGATCAATCTCGGCGGCCACCACGCCCGCCGGATATTACGAAACTTTCCTGATCAATCGTATTTGTTTTCAACTTGTAATTAGCTGCGAATGCCATTTCTTCCTTTCGCCATTTCTCTGGTCAATAATATCACTCTAATACATAATAAAACACTCGCCCACTGACATTGCAGCTGAATTGTAAAATTAATATTAGTACACCACGCCTAGGCGGCGTGTCATAATTCACGACGAATGGTTCAGCCGCGCGCAACTCATTCAGCTTTCATTAACTCTTCAGTTCCGTTCGAGTCCATTTGATTCGTTTCTATTTTTAAAACACGATACCCTTAAATGGCGCTGATTCTAGTATCTTTGAATTTTATAACTTCCTACGCTTTGCTTCTCCCGGCGTTTTATTTTTATAAGCAAATAGCGTAATGAGTCCCTTGCTCTTATAATAAGTTTTCTCCTTTGAGACTCCTCTTTTACAGATTCTCGCAATAAGTCGACACTGTCGACTTTAATTAAGCGTTCCTCATTATTCTAAGTTTAATCAAAAGGCGACGACGGCGCGTTTGCTTACGTTGGCAGCGTATCATCTTTTTATTAAATGCATTTTTTGCGCGGAAAGAATAGCGGGCACGTATAATGAAAGGTATACGTGTACGAGAATCTATAGACTCTTCCCTGCTGCACAAGTAGAAGTTAATCAATCCTCGAGAGAAAACACGATCGTCGCATTCATAATCAGAACGTTTACGTATGCTGTAAAAAGGGTTTGCTACGGAAATATTTGTAATATGCGTAATACGGATTATTAATATTACATGCGCCTAATGGTGACGGCAATCTTATCGCGACAGGTGAAATAAAAATATGCAGAATCAATACGCGAAAACATATGTTATTCATCGAGATAAAGTTAGTTGAAGGTTACACCTGATTTAATTCAACGTAACGTGAAAGGTCGACCAACTGCGAATGCAACTGCGGGGCATACGTGCCGGCGAGGTGGCGTCTCGCTTGGTACCGCGTCAAGTATCGGTGCAACAGCACGTAACGCCTGCGATCTTTCGGATGGAAAATATCGGCCCGTTAACCCGTGAAATATTTGTAAAATTTCTCCCCTCGATCGTGCATTATTTTAAGCTCGCCCATTTCGGGAGGTGGCCCTCCTTATCAATCACGAACGGACAAACGGCTGGTTAACATACGTCTATTTTCGTAGAGGTAGGTCACGAGAGTGAGGTGCACGGGTGGCCCTCGCGTGATTATGACGCCGGAGTTTATGCGCGCCGAAATCATATCGGTTACCATCCGGCAAAACTGCGCAGATCGAGTTTCCAATTACCAGATTATCGTGCCGCTCTAACGTCTATCTCATTGCCGAAGGCACCTCCGTCTAGAAGTGCCAGGCACCTCACTTACGATCGAGATTCAGAGTTAAGTAGTGCCGTGATTTCGCTGAATTCATCATCGCGCGCGAGATCGAGGAGGTTCAACTCCCGACCGGTCGTAGACCTATTTTTTAAAAAGAGAGATTCAAGGCGAGGAAACCTTCTCTTTAAAAGAAATCGACGCTCTTGTGTAAATTGTTTCGCTATTCAGCAGTAAATAGTATATTGAACATTAAAAAGAAACCTGTTAAATTTTGTTGAAGTCTCGATTACAGATGCAACTGCCGATTGGTGTTAAATTGTACACCGACTGTCACCGGTGCAAGAAATCGCACACAACCGCAGGTCATTGTCGGCGATTGAATTTCACGATTTTCAGTCGCACGTGGATACGCACACCTTTAGGCTAAACGAGTCAAAAGGCTCGGCTTTCAATGGAAATTTCCTCGTTGCGCCGTTCCGCGTCCGCGTCGTCATCGATCGATCCATACCGCTGTGTAACAGAAAGCACGCGACGACCTAACATCTGCCGCCGTGGTTCGCTAATGTAATAGCGGCTTTAAATACAGAGAGCCTGGGTTACGGGCCATTTAGGTGTTAAACGACGCATCAGTTGCCGCAACATCGTGTTATCAAAGCTTGCGAGGACGCGATCGAGATCGATATCACGTTCCAGTTTCCTCGGGAAATTCTCTCAGCCTCTGTTTCCGTCAATAAATCAGATATCAACGTTAAAATTTAGGACGCTGCAGAGTACAATTAATCAATTACGCTGGACCTAATAGCACTCTTATTATCTTTCTACTATTTCACGCACCCAACTTGATCGGTCGTGCGTATCTTAACGTTTTTTCGACCCACGGGCTTCTTCTTAGTTCTAATTTGTATATGAATACCAAAAAATGGTCGAAGCGGTAGGGTGGCTGAACGGGTTAGGACTTAGGTTATTCGATCAATACAAGGCGCTCCAGCTTTCTCTCTCTCTCTACGACCGCGAAACTAGACATCTAAAGGCGAAGGGAGAGAAGACCTTGTTAGGGACCGGGGACGCGCAAAAACGCGGATGAGATGTTGTAAAGTAGAAAACCTCTCGCTCAAACGAATTTCTATTTAACTCTATTAAACGAGCTAAGAGAGAGCGAGTTAAACGTTATGATATATACGAGAAAATTACAGGGTACATTTGTACACTATTAAATTGTGTTTTCCGGTGAAATTTTGATAGGCAGCTCTAACATTGAAAACCCATCGAAGCGATATTTGCACGTGTACGTATGTTTTAGGTGCCTTCCTCATACCCTTTTTCATCATGCTCATTTTGGAGGGTGTACCCCTCTTCCTGATCGAGCTGGGTCTCGGACAACGTATGCGGCAGGGCGCCCTGGGCGTTTGGAACACAATACACCCATGGCTAGGCGGTATAGGGATCGCGTCGTGTATAGTGACGTTTTTCGTTGCGCTTTACTACAACGTAATTATTACCTGGTGCGTCTTCTACCTCTTCAACTCGCTCGAGGTAAGCAGATCGATAAGGTTCGCAGCACCGATTGACGCCACGGTAATCTGCGTCGAGACGTCCTAAGTGACTCTCCCCCGCCGCGCTAGTTCACAGTTTAAACTTAAACAGATAATGAAAGACGTTGCTTGCGGGGAAACCAAGTGTTTAAAAGTTTGCTGATTTTAGTAAGAACACTAGAGGCTGTAGAAATGAAATTAGGACGGGATAATTAAGGAATTTCTTGAGCGTGAGCAAAAATGAACAAATTTCTATATTTAATATGCTACTACTTCACAATAAAAATCATTTTATTAAGGGTACTAGAGGCTGTAGAAATAAAATTAGGACGAGATAATTAAGAAATTTCTATATTTAATATGCTATACTACTTCACAATAAAAATCATTTTATTTAAGGGTACTAGAGGCTGTAGAAATGAAATTAGGGCGAGATAATTAAGAAATTTTTAAGCGCGAACAAAAATGAAGAGATTTCTATATTAAATATTTCATAAATGAGAGTGTTACTTTAAATGATAGCGATAATAAAAATGTACAGAATGTTACGCTCAAATGTAATTATTAATGGCGTCTTCGTAAAAAAAACATTTTCTATAAATTGCAAACTATTAATAACATTTATTTTTCTTTCATGTTTCAACTAGGCTGTTACGATCAAATTTGGTGTAAGTATCACTTTTTTGTGAATAATGAGAGATATTGCGTTGTATTGCTGCAGATACAGATATTATTATGTTTAAATTGTACAAGAAAGCTATAATATGTAAATTTCGTCACAATGTCAGTCTCTCGATTCAGCGCTCAAAGTGCCGCTTCGGCTTTTACAACGCAATAACAGTATGCCCGTTAAAGCGTATATTGATGATCTATTTGCATGTTCTGACGTAATTTAGGAATCACTGCCGTGGGCACAATGCCCGGAATTGAACGGGAAACCGGTCGAGGAATGCGTTAAGAGTTCGGAGACCGCGTATTTTTGGTACAGGACTACCTTGGACGCGGCACCATCCATCGAGGACGGCCAAGGTCTCAAATGGTGGATCGTACTTTGTCTCTTGCTCAGTTGGATTGTTGTGTTTTTTATCGTCATGAAGGGGATACAATCGTCTGGCAAAGTAAGTTCAAGATAGGACCGGAACCGTGCTGAAGGGATCGATCTCGCGATCTCGTTCCTTTTGCCATCGTGGTAATGAATCATCCCCTTTTTCCAGGTGGTATACTTTACGTCCATGTTCCCGTATCTGGTACTGACCATCTTTTTCATCCGCGGGATAACATTGAGGGGTGCGGGCGCTGGACTGGCGCATATGTACACGCCAAAGGTGACGATCGATCCCGATCGGGGTTGACCTTATCGAGGAAAGCGTCGCGAGAAAGCGATACGCTCGGGCATCAGATATGACATTTGCTTTATTCGTTCCAAGGTCGAGAAATTGTTGGAGCCCACGGTCTGGCTTGATGCGGCGACCCAGGTCTTCTATAGCTTCGGGCTGGCGTTCGGCTCCCTGATCGCGTTCGGCAGCTACAACACTCCTGACAACAACTGCGTGAGGGACGTGATCCTGGTGAGCGTGTGCAACGCGTTTACTGCCATTTACGCGAGCGTTGTCATTTTCGCCATTTTGGGGTTCAAGGCAATGTCAAACGTGGACAAGTGCGTCGTCAGGTAATGCGACCGCAAGTGCGGCCATCGTTTCTAAATTCGCCATCGCGAAGAGGGTAGTGAGAAAAAATGGTCCACGGCTGCGGAGATGTGTCTTTAAACGACCATGCTAGCTGTTGCCGCTTGTTCGAGATAGAAGATATGCGTGTCGTCGCTTTATACTATTAACGTATAACGCACATTCGGAAATCTTAATTAAATTAAGTTGTAAACTAATTACATTAATAATGTATGACAACGAATGTTAGCAACATGGTTGAACTGCAAAAATTAATTACATTATTAATGTATACTTACACGGTGCATCACAATTTAATTTAATTTAGATTGCAAGTGTCAGACGTGTCGATGGTTGAGCATTTAGAAACGGGAGGGTTCGAGTCATAATGGGACGGGACGGGATATATTGATCGTTGGCGAAGAACAGAGGGACACAGAAGATATGTTAAATCGCTTTTATTTTAGCGCGAGGGATACCCTGATACAAAATGGGCTGTTGGATAATTCGACCTCGTTCAACCTCGAGGACTACGAACTCTTGATGGACACCTTCAACTCCTCGGCAATGAACCTCACAATGAAGTCATGCAGTCTCAGCAAGGAATTGGACAACGTGAGCAATGATAGTTTCGCGAATTTGTCGAGTGTATTGTCGTGGAATAATTAAGTGACAATTTCTTTCGCACAGGCCGCCGAGGGCACCGGACTGGCTTTCATCATATTTACACAGGCGATCGTGGAACTGCCGGGAGCGCCGTTTTGGTCTTGCATTTTCTTCATGATGCTTCTAGCACTCGGCCTGGGCTCGCAAATCGGCTTACTCGAGGGCATGCTCTGCGTAATCTTTGACATAGATCTCTTCAAGAGAATAAAGAAGCAATACATGACAGGTAAGCGCATTCCACCGGTGATAATATTAGTGAAAAAAAAAACTACTGATAAAAATTTCGTTTTAATTGCGTAATTTACGAACGCAGGAGTTGTTTGCGTCATATGCTTTTTCGTGGGACTCATCTTCTGCACTGGCGCTGGAGAGTATTGGCTGAAAATGTTTGACAGTTTTGCCGGCACCATCGGTCTCGTTATAGTCGCCCTGATGGAAATGATCTCCGTGGTTTTCGTGTACGGCCATGAAAAGTGAGTTGAACTGTCCGCGAGCCTCTTCTCCGAGTGAGGTGGATTAACGGATTAATGCTGTGCAGATTTACGAAGGACATCGAAGAGATGACCGGATATAAACCCGGGCCTTATTGGCAATTCACGTGGCGGTTTCTCGCTCCCATAATAATGGTTTGCATCCTTCTGTTCAGCATCGTTTCCATGTTCATCAAGAAACCGCAATATTCGGCGTGGAATGCAGCAACGGTAAGCTAATAATTAACTACGAAACATATAATTAAAATATGTAAACTTTTACATACAAATCACATTGTAAAAATATTTCTGCTCTTCAGGGTGAAGCAGTGCCCACGAGTTATCCTGGCTGGGTGCTGGGTATCGCTGTCGTCATCATTTTGGCAGGAATCGCTCCGATTCCGATTGTTTTCCTTCTGCGTCGATTCCAGCTGGTGAAACTCGACGTGGATATACATCAAGGCAGTATTCGACGCATCGACACCACCGTTTCTACTAAAGAAATGATGGGCGACGTTGATGTGAGTGCAACTTCAATTACGATCGTAGCTATATGTATTTTATACAGTAGAAATGCGAATGAGTTACTTTGGAAGGAAATTACGCGGAGGAAAATATTGTCCGCGGAAATAGCGTTTGTGGCTTGTGATCGTTCGTGAGATGGAATGTGTGTAAAATTCGCGACAGATAGTCCACAGACTGGACGTTGTCTCTTTCCCATTAAGTTAATTGTTTTGAACGAGAGTAGTGTTGTTCCTTCCCGTTAAAATAATTGTTTCGAACAAGTAGCGTTGTACCCCTCCGAGATAGCCTGTTGAAACGGGACAGCTTAATTAGCGCACCACGGGCTAACGAATGTCATGCCGTTTAATCAGTAATCTGGCCTTGCGCAAATTGAAATGAACTCGTAAATGTTGCTTACATCGATTCCCCCGAGTTGTTGCGCAAGCTGTTCCTCATGGTGAGCCAATTAAGCGTGCGTACGTGACTCGCTTTAGGTTACTCACAATTGAACGTACGATCTGCAGTTGTAGGTAAGCATCCATTCTGTCTGTGGTAACGTCGATTACTCGATATCCCCGTAGCTACGTAACACGTGAGTTCGCAGTAACAACTTTTGAGAATGCATCCTCTGAATGTTACTCCTAGTGCATTCATCGTCACACGTATACGATGCCCAGCGCATACTCTTAACATCGTGGCTCTAGTTTCTGTCTCTTGACTTTCTGTCTTCCCTTTTTACTAGGTTAAATCTTCATACTTGAAGTACATAAAATTGCAATTAATTGATTGCACGATTTAATAATGAAATATGACGCAGATACCTTCAAATAAATCTAATATGTTCTTTAAAGTGTATCATCATCATCATCATCGATAGAATGCATGATTAGATCTTTCAGATCCCTTTAAAATAAGATGAACAAATATTCGAAGGTAAAGAAAGACGATAATATTAAAAATCTTTCGGAATTATTTTCCACAAAATCGATCAACGCGAACGTAAAGTATTCTAATTTAAATTACATCTGCTGTCTATGTATCACGTCCTATTATCAAATCAATGAGACCGATATTGAAGTAATTGTAGCATTTTCATACCAAATTTTTGCCATAAGAAGTTACAAAATATAAATCTACATCTTATTAATGCAATAAATCAGCATGCTTGTTTCGGGTAAGTATGCGTTCCACCCCGAAGTTTGGCCTGATTAGCATGTCAAACATGACAATCCACAATTCTCATCAGGATTCATATTATGCTTCACCAGGAATGAAGCTTCATCAGAAATACTCATGTATGTACAGAAGAATACAATTGATCGGTTGAGAATTAGAAGTGGTCTATCAACTATGAAATTTCGTATTCACGTAGATCGTTCCGAGTCTTTGTCCAGCTGGCCTTTTCGCCATGCGGAAATAAGAAAGCAAACAGTTCAGAAGTCGAGCCTATTTACGACTTCTCGATCGTGAGCTACAAATCTATAACTCGCGGGAATCGGAAGCTCATAAATAGCTTCTGTTTAGAAATGTGCGCTATTTGTTTTTTCGATTCTTACACGGTGATGAATGCGGGCGGAAGCTTAGCAGAAGGTTATTTATAAAGTCTGGATCACTTATGATACTAAACCTTTCGATTTTTGGCGACGCTTATAAAATCTTGGCGGTTGAAATTGAAATAGCTTCTTTTTTTACATGCGGTTTTCAGAGTTTAGAAAGGCAACTCCTATCACTAGCAAGTCTGAAAATTGCAATTAAAATGAGTAACTATTTTGACGCTGTACTTTTATTCCAAAAGTCATGGTCACCTAATCTCTTAGCTGATTTATTGCACCTTAATAAATATTTAACTTGTGAATTTTTAATTTTCAGCTTGATGAATACCACGATCGGCTTGAGGACTTCCCGGAAGAAGACGAGGACATTAATAGCGACGATGATACGAATTCCGCACCTTCTATGAGTAAACTAGCTAACAAAGCGATGAAGGGTAGGGCCTTCAAAATGGAAGTAATGAATTTTTAAAACGCATAATCGGCGAGACGTTTTCCGTTTGTTCGTAATCTAAATATACAGTAATAGATATCAAATTATACATACGTAAAGACTTAAGTAATTTTATTACATTATTATAATTTGTGGAATAAATTAATTATTTTTATTTTTAATTATAATCATTAATTTGTAAATTGGAGGAAATTAGGTTTTAACGAAGAATAATATATGTATTGTACATATATTATTAGGGTGCTCCGCACAACACCGCTCACGGAAAGATAGAAATGGTTGAGACAAATAGAAAAGTCCTATACCATTTTGCAATTTTGGTAATAGTTATCGAGATATTCATGATCAAAAATCGCCGTATTAGCTCGACTTACCGCCAAATGTAAGCACGGAGTGAGATGCATCCATCCATCGATCGTCGTGATACGACCTCCGACTCTTGTCGATGGATGGCAAGGGGGGAGGGAAGGGGGGCTAATACGGCGAGTTTTGATCGTCAATATTTCGATAACTATTGCGAAAATTACAAAATGGTACAGGACTTTTCTATTTGTCTCAGTCTCTTCTATCTTCTCGTGAGCGGTGTCAGGAGTTGTGCGGAGTACCCTGTATATAATAATTATACGCATTTAAGTTAATATATTATATATACAGTGTATATATAATATATTATATATACACTAAAACCACCGGACATTCTTTTAATTACAGATTCTTTACAAAATTTCAAGACGAAAATTTCTAATACAAAATTGACGAGACTATAATAGTTTTTAAATAATAAGCGATTATATTTCACAAATGACAGACCTGAGATTTCGCGCCCTCAGGCACGGCGACATAACAATTGATAAAAGTGTTCCAATTAACTCTTTTTATGAATTATGCTTATCGCATAAATTTTAATAACATTGTCGCTATACGTTTTCCCGCTTCTTTACGCGCTGTATTAGTATCTTCCCTTTACGAATAATAGGCGTGTGAGAGAACTTAAAACATCTTAAAACTAATTAAAATAAAACTTATTTTCACTTTATAGTGTTGTAGCTTTCAAAGTGGTCGATCAATATCAGTTATCATGAAGGTTGTTACTATGCTAACAAGGGCGACATTCATAGGAATATTTTTATCACTTGTCATATCGCCGTACCAGAGCGCGCAAAATCTCAGGTCTATGATTTGTGAAATATAAACGCTTATTATTTAAAAACTATTATAGCCTCGACATTTTGATATTAGAATTTTTGCCTTGAAACTTTCTAAAGAATTTATGATTGAAGGGATATCCGATGGTTTTAGTATACCCTGTATATTATTATCTCACCTTCTAATTTAAAAGATAGTTTGCCATTTGCAGAATCTTTTTAAACTCTGAGTAAGAATTAAATTTTATGTTAAATCTTCAACTTTAATAAGATTTAAAAAATTCCGTCTTTATGTATCTATAATTTGATATCTCAAGGCGCTGTGCGTCTATAAAAGCGAATCTAATTATATTAATTGAGCAAGTGAACAACAAATGAACACACGAAGTTATTAAAAACTCTTCTCGACGTATCTCTATGATGAATAAATCGTGTCGAACTCTATGTTTTTGCGTCCGATGCGATTTATATATCTTCCAAAATTTAAGAAAGCTGCGTTCGCTTATTGTTCATTTGTTCGAAAAGTAGGGTGCGTCGATCGTTCTTCTAGTATACCTGAGTCAATCTTTGCGTTAAATGAATAGAGTAAACCGTGAATTCGCCCTAAATCGAGCTCAATCTGTCGGATTGCGACGCCACTAAAAGCAATATGTAATTTGGAATACAATTTAGAGGTGTAGCGCGAGAGAATGCGTCACGACGGTTCAGCGTTCAAACTTTACCGTCGTATATCACACTTCCAGGCAAAAAATCGCGAATCACCGGATGGATTACGGTAGGCGTACATAGCGGACAAAAAATAGCGAAGAGAATAGAATGTTCTGGCTTTTTAGTATCGCGTGATATGGAGATGATCGGACGACGGGGTCCTTCATTTCATCCGTGTCAATTCAATTTTAATTAAATGCGATTCTTTTTATAGATCGGTAGTTTCATCTACGAAGAAGAGAGACGGTTGGAGAGACTAGACAATAAAATTCAACGTAGTCGAATTGTTAGTCAAACGTAGCTGATTTGTTTACTGCTTTCTATACATATGATCCCGGTGTAATGTGTACTTTCGATTCCTCCGAGGTTCTACCTTACGCATGTCATGGCAGTCCAGATTTGATCGACCCTGCTTCCAAAGATATTCCATAAAAAGTAGGTGTCAGGTACTAAACGGATTAATTTTTTTTCATTAATTTCTGGATTTTATATTTGCTTGGTAACGCATTTTTGAAACAAAATATTACTTGCTATTCTTGTAAGAGAGAAAACAGATATATTTATTTTATATTACAAGTACATTTATATTATGCTCGTATAATATGTGCTCGAGTTTGGACAGCAACATAAATTTTCTTATACGTATATATATATATTATGTATATATCTTACGTATTTAATTATAGAAAATTAATTAGTTTATTAAAGATTTATTAAATGGAAAGGAAACAAGGTCGATTAGATTCACGTTTTCTAGTGATTCGGCTTTCAGTTCGGCAAACGATTGAATGTCAAATATGCGTCGATGACATTTTTAATTGATAATTAAATTGTGTTACGCGTAATAGAAAATAATCATCCCTGTTGGTTTTAAAATTGTCATGAAAGTTATTTTTTAGTTTTATTGAAATACGCGGCCATTACGTCGTTAATTGCGGGATATCATTAATTTCATGGTGTAGAAATTGTCGGATGCCGACGTCTTAGATTTCTTTACTGTTAATTTAGCCAGGAGAAACAAGAACTTGCGGTGCCATTATGACATTTCGATAAGATATATTACCGGTGCAGGCTATGCTGGTAGATTAAAATGACATCGTGTTGCACTCAAGATTGATTATAATATCTTGCGCTCATTCCTGTGAATGCGCGCGGGAGCCTTCCGCTATTGCAAAGATTGACAGATGTTTCTTTCGGGAAGTAGCCCTACGCGCGCGGGGCGCTCAGCATCGTTTGGCTGGTCCAGCTATTTTTGGGTACGGAAATATTATATACCGATTCCGCGCTAGGACGGATGATCAACGTGTGGTCGGTATGCCCTATCCCCTATATTCTCGCCTGCGAGACAATGTGATGACATATTGATGTAGAAACGTCGGTCGAATAACCGTAATGTCAATAATAGAAAAGGATTGCGATTCGGGAGTCGCGTTCACCGTGCAAACTCCTGCGCGAGGTATCTCCTTCGTTCGCGCGTGAATGCGATCCAAGCACGGGAAAAATAGCCACCATTGATCATCCTCTGTCTTATTTATATTGTACATACTTTAAACTGCGATCGATTAATCGCACGAATCAGTGAGAGCGTACGCAGTACCGGGATTAATTCGCCGACAGAAGGTCAAATTAGTGATCGGTGCTGCGCAAGCGAGCGCGTCACAGCTCGCGCTTGAGATGGTAAGGCTAATATTACATTTGTCGTACGACAAATGTTTCAAGTACGTCGATTGTCTGCGGGATAGGAAAGTTCTCGAGTATCTAGAAATTTTCTAGCTTGTAGCCAATCGACACGCTTAAAAATCTTGTCGTACGACGAATGTAATACCAGCCGGGAGATGATATGGAATGTAACATAAGATAAGCGACCGGGAGATCATTATATTAATGACATTACGAATTCGATGAAACGAATGCGTAACGCGTGTGTGCCATTGTAAATAGTAACTCGTGGTCTTACGCCACAAATCGCATCTAAATTGATACCTCGTGAGGTACCTATTTTTCGAATCGCTTAGAATAGTGACGACATTACATCCGTTTACTTTCTTCCCTGTTTTCTATTAAAAGTATACTGTCCCCTTCTTCGTGCACGAGGGACGTAAACTTAGAAACTTATCAAAGCGGATATTATACATACGTAGACCGTTGTGTAAACTATTCTTTTTTTCTACAAATATGAGTTGTACGATAAGAGATAGTTATTCACCGTTCCGAGGATATCGACGAGATAACGTCGGCTAAACACAAAATACGCGACGCAGCAAAAGCGGGCTTTCCTTAAACGTCATATTTTAAATTTAAATTTCACTATACCGTCCGAAATTAACCTGCGTCATCCCAGGTGTAAAAAATTGCCTCGTTTTTTGTATTATTAATTTAATTTAATTTTAATCATAGCTTTAAACAAACGCGTGTTAAACAATGATGATGTATTTATTCTTTCGAAAATTGAATCGAATTTTCTTTTTTTTAATTATTATTTCTTTATTTTTATTGCGATTAGAGAGATAAATGATAAGTAAAACGATGAGATGATTAATCACTATTTGGACTTGTCTAAATTGTAATTAATTATCGGAAGTGCGATTAATTTTATCGCAAAAATGAACATCGCAAGAAAATTAGCAGATGCAGAAGACGTTACTTCTCCTTATTATAAAAGAACACATCAAAAGTTTTTGTTCAGGAGAGATGTTATATATTTTTCTACTGCTTCGGAAAACTAAAAACAAACTTTTTTTATTTTACAAGAACTGTGAAATATTTTTACTCGGTATATTATTTTAAATAAAAACAAAATAATGTCGCGTACATTAACCATTAACAGAGAAGGATATTTTGAATCCCTAACTTTATCTTCTAATTTCGCAGGATGAACAAATAATTAAAATTAATCTCAATACAACAATTTCTTAGCTCCTACTTTTTTATGTTCCTAAATACGTTAGAAAACTAATGAAGATAATTAGGTCCTGACATTAGGTCTAAGAGAACCAAGAAAGAGATCTAACAAAGAAATTTCTGTATGTGTGCGTGTGTGTGAGAAAGAAAGCCCTCATCACTAATTGTGTCAACTTCTTCCACGTCACTTAAGGATTGAGGAGTAAGCAATCGTCACGCGACATTCCTTTTCCTCGAATCAGACTCTCCGTATAATTGTAAATCCCACAAAATCCCTCAACATTTCGAGAATTTAAATACAAGATTTTTGGCCTATTCTTCTTATCGGGTAACAAATTTAAATGGCACCGTTAAATATAGAGAACACGCTTGTCCTCTCGTTTCCGTATACATTCGAGTTTCGCTTAAACCGTTTGTGTCCGACGCGCCCGGTAATTCCTCGAAGTGATATGTACATATAGTTATAAATGACAATTAATGTTGGATAGTTCTGTCTTAGGCTGCTGAAAGTTCAGTTATGTGCACTCGTTGGAAAAGAAAAAGAGATTCCCTCTATCCTGCGAAATTTTCTTAAGTTACGTGTAAGTATTAAGAGAACGCGCGAGTATTATATTTTCATTCGTTAGGTTTATACAATGCGTAATGGGTAATTATTTTAGTGCGACGAAGTCGTTTTCGATAGTAAACGAGTACTTCCGATTTATTTAATTGCTCGACACATTATGTACGTTTTTAATAGCGCGAATGCTCAAATTACTAACTTGTCCTCAAACTTGAGCATTATCGCAATACTTTTAGTGACTGATACTTTAGACGTTTACTAGAACACAGTGTACACAAGATTCAAAGTTTAAATAAAAGCTTATTTATTGCCGAAAGTGAGTTGCTCCTGGTATCTTCAGTGTTTCTGTAAAGATGTAGAATCACGGTGTAAAATTCGCGTCAAAGTTCTAGTACCTGTGTATTTCTCAAGAGATTTGAACGTGCGGTTCCACAAAGATTCTAAATTTCAAGAAAAAATTCGATTCCATAACCAAAAAGATTTATTGAAAAGGTTTATTAAAAAATATTTCCATATGCCTCAGTGGTCGAATTGGTTGAGACGCCTGCCTAGTGAGAGGGAGGTCCAGGTTCAAACCTTGGCTGAGAAAATATTTTTCGCAATAAATTTAAAATATGAAATATTTAGACATTAACACCCTGTCACGGCTGTTAGTCGTTTATTCCTTTAAAATTTGTGTTCATCACATTTGAGCCATACAAATTTTCATTTATTAAAAAAGTTTATTAAATCCATACAGCCAAAAAATAGTATAAATTTGCAAACAGACACAGATCTGTTAACGTGCACAGTACAATTTTTTAATCGTCTTGACAAGTTTATACTTTAAGCCCTGGGCTTTGGTTTTACTCTGATACTTTTCTTTTAGCAGCCCTGTAGTTTGTAAATTTCTCTCTCCTGCCCCCCCCCCCCCGCCACTTCTTTTTGTTTAGACTCAACAATTGTTCAACTTCTTGGTCAAGTTTAAATTATATGCAGTCATTCGTTGCGGTTGTGCTTGTCTCTTGTCCTTCCTTTTTTCCATATACATATAAAAAGGCATATTGTGATGAAAATTCTAAACTATTTAAATTCGCGTCTATGTAATTTATTAATATGTAATTTAAATTACATAAAAACACTTTGAAAGAGCACTTAAAAGAATTTGTACTGTAACAAGGACATTATTGACACGTGTCGTTCTATTAAAAAAAAACTTTTATGTTTAATAACCGTTTGGAAGAAAATTGTATTCTTATCAAGCTTAATATATTGACCTTGCTATTCAAACTTTAGCAAGAATAGAACTCAAAATACTCTTATTAGACTTTCAATTTATCGTATTATTTAACAAATTATAAATGAATTACATTTAAGTTATAGATTATATTGGAAGAAAATATTTAAAAAAATTGAAATTTGCTGTAAAAATTATACGTCATGTAAATGATAAATTCATTCATAAGCAAAAACAAATATGTACTGCTATATAGAATGATTTAGAAGATTGTTCACAATAGTTTTGAAATGTTGCTATAATATTGTAAATTTATGTTTATACAATGTTTCTACAATATTGCACTGCAATGTATGATATTGCAACTGTAATGTAGCTACAAATTTCTGTGCTGTATGGGTGTACGTGTATATGTTCGTAACGTTACTCTTGAAAACCTAAACTCTTTTTTTTTAATATCCTGTATAATATCTCAAGTAGCAAGATGATAAATAATACCTTAGTAACGACGTCACTCATTATCTCTTATCTTGATTGTTGTATTTTATGTATTGTTGTATTCATTATATCTTTTCTATTTTGCAGTAATTATAATATTTCAAAGTTACTTATAGAAGTGTATTATGCCAGTAATATTTTATTTTAATAGGTAATATTTTCAACATATTGCAATATTGTTGTGATATTGGTGCAATATTACGTGCTACGTGGATTCTTTCTCTTCCAAAAATATGGTCACGCCCCTTCATTCTGGCGCTTTTGCTCACATTGGCTCTTCCTCCGATTTATTAGGTTTGTTAAAAATTATGCAAGTTTTTAATCTCAAAGATAGAAGATTTCTAACAAGATATTTATATAACATTTCTTAATCTACAGCATAGAATCATTCCAAATCAGTTCCAGAACGTTCTGAGACAGTTTTCCCTGGACATTCTAAATACATCAAGGTCCTGTGCTATCTAGGAAAGTCCCTTAATTTTGAAACCTCGACACTTAATTAATTCCAGCACGTACGCTTATACGCTTTATCGTCCGTATCATTTCAAAATGAATTAGTATAGCTTCTACGTAATATATAGGTATATAGATATTTCGTATCTTTTCATTATACATATACGTATAAATAGTAATCTTGATTATCGCTGCGATACCACATTCGGTACGATAGTGTCGCTGTTTACGAGATATAATGTGATCATCGAGCCCTCCCACGTAACATATACGGCAAAATCTTATCTGTTACAGTGAATTACCGAGTCACATAACGTCAGCTATTTAGTAGAATGCACTAGAGTGTACGGTGCGCACCGAGCCTTACATCACGCGCGTGTAACTGGTTTATTTCTTTTTTTTACGCTTTCTGAAATGGCTGTTCAAGGTAATAACTTTGTTAATGCACACTATTTACAGAATATAGATAGAAAAGATTGTAAAGTGAAGAATTCCGATACAGTTTGCGCAAACGGAATGGAAAATCATGATAGCGACGCGTCGCGGAAAGACTCGACGGAGTTTCTCGTCAAATATCGCGATCGTGTTTATAATATTTATAACTTCCTAAATTATCACCCCGGAGGAAAAAACACGCTAGCACGTCTCAAGGACCAAGTGTTGGATGGGGAGTTAGCAAAAAATCCTCATTCAAAGTCCGCCTACTACCTTCTCGAGGAATTTGCTGTGCAACATCAAGAGAGATATAACGAATGTGAAGTGAGTGATTTTTAAGTGAAAAGAGACAAGCGACATATATATTTTTAAAAAACTATTATACGCGTACGTTGTGTCATATATTTGCACATCTCTGTGTCAAAAACCACTTCATGTAGTCAGACTAATAATATAAAACTCGAGTCAGTAGACATGATTTTATTATAATTTTTTTGGTGCCGCGTGAATTTTTTATTTAACACATACATGTATGTGTATATTCCGACTTTTTAAATGTATTTTTCTGCTACACGTGTAGAAAATTATAGAATTCTAAAACTGAACACAATTGTGACAAGCAGTAAGTAATTATCAAATTATACATATATTATCACAAGGATATTCTTGAAATCGTCGAAGAAAATGATACGTTAAACGGTTTGCACGAAACGTGTTCGACTTATCTATTAGGATTGGTTTATCTCCAACTTATCTCGATTCCACGTAACGTAGGTTTCCAGCTTATAGATAAAAAAAAGTGTTGAGATAAGTTAAAAACCGCAGATGTCCGATTTCGCAGAACTACATAGGTTCTCACGATGTTCGAGCTTACAAATAAATAGAATAGCGCTGCTTTAAAAATGATGGTTTACGAAAATTGTTCTTGCTTTCAGAATCTGATAAACTGGAATAAGCCGATCTTATGGCAAGTGGGCAATATGGGCGATCGATACTGGGAATGGGTCAATCTGCCGTTAAACAGACCCATTCGATACTTCCAGTCAGATATTTTGGAGACCCTGTCGATTTCGCCATGGTATTTCTTGCCGATTGTCTGGATACCGATAGTTACGTATCTCCTTTATATAGGCTGCTCCTTGAATGTTTCCGCAAATATCGGTAATTTATACAGTATTAACATTAAAGAAATAATAAAGTAATATGCGCACGAAAGTGCTTCTGAACGTAATCAATGTATACACTCCATTGTAAAATGTGTATTTTCTTTCAGCGATTACAGCGCAAAATATTGTACCGCCCCTCGTTCTGGGGCTTATTGTGTGGACCATTGTGGAATATTTCGTTCACCGAAAATTATTTCATTTTGAACCACCGCACAATTCGAAATTGTTAATTACCTTGCACTTCTTGTTCCATGGAAGCCATCACAAGGTAAGAGGCACGGGCCTTGACGTTTTGAATTAATGCTGCAATTCTAATTGTAAACAAAATCGTAAGACTCGTAAGGACTGAAGCTAATGGCACACGATACATAAACAATCCCTACTGGATTGCTTATGAGAACCGATGAGGATACAGAGTTTTAGATCAGGTGACTTAAGGCTAAATCCCGGATTGGCTCTCGTAAGCAATCCAGTAGAAAAAAATAGTGCCGTGTGCCGTTGACTTAACTTACGAGCAATTTGCAATTCGATGCGTATGCCGTACGGTCATTCGTAGAGTGACAAAAACATCTTACGATTTTGCTTAGAATTGCAGCATAAATATGTATTAATTTTGCCGATTGTACACACGTAAGAGTCGTACCAACAGGCACCACTGGACGAACGAAGACTAGTATTCCCACCGACATTCAGTTTATTTGTCGCGGCATGTGCTTGGAAAATTTACAAGACCATATTTCCTCTGACGGTGGTTCATCTTGTCGCCGCTGGTACTATAATAGGTATTTAAATATTTAAAATAAATTTCATTGCATCGGGATATGCTGAAACAAATTACTTCAAAGAACTGTAACTAAATGTATCCGTTTTATAGGCTACTTGTGTTACGATTTAATGCATTATTACTTGCATAATGGAGCACCGATCGCAGGATCGTATCTATATACGATGAAACGAAGACACAATTATCATCATTTTGTACATCATGATCAAGGTAACTAATGCGAATGTTGCTACCAGTATACAGAGAATTAATCGTCACCTCTTGCAGGATTTGGCGTCACTAGCGGATTGTGGGATCGAATACTTAACACGGATCTAACTCTGCGCAAATTAAACGAACCTTTAAAGTGGTAAAATGGTGGCTCGAAGTCAAAACACGACATTTCTACATGTATCGATAGTATTAACTTGTTTAATATTTTTTATTGTATAATAATTTATTATTGGTATAATCACAATTGTAATGCTAAGAATTAAAATTTCATTATTTTAACAGTATTCGCGCTTTTAAACTTAACCATAGTTTCAGTATCGTTGGACGATTTAAGTACATACATACATTCCTAAGAGATTCATTAAATTTTATAACATGTTTAAAATGACCAGGACAAGTCTTTTAAATAACAGTACAATAACGCAGTCTCAAAAATTAAAAGGTCGACAAACTTGGATTTCGACAGCTTCGTATTTGAATTTCATTTAAACGAGTGTCCTATTAAATGAGGCTTTGGACCAGCAAGGTTCTTTGTATCTTAACGGCAAATATATATACCAAGTACATATTAAGTACATAATTTATGGTATCCATGACTATATCCATTTATCCCATTTCAAGCCTAATATCACATACATCCAAAGTTAACAGAGAGAATATATACGGTTGAGATCTCAAAGCATATTATCATTGTAGCGTTTAGTCGTTAAATACATTATACCTGAGTACAAAATTCACAGGGGACTCATATTGCCATTATCTGAATCAACGTTAATTAAATTTCTAAACAAGCATCACTGCGCCTCGGCCTTGACGGTCCTCCTACCCATACTTAATTGCGGAAAAGTACTTTTATTAGCGGGTGGATTAAGCTTGGACGACAAATGCACAAACGCCTCAAATAGAGTAGCTCTATCCAAGATGTTCACCTCGTAATGCTTAACTTTCTCCCTGGTGCACCAGTTGCTCGCCTTGCTCACAGTGTTCTCCAAGTTATTCAACGCGGCGTCGGTTTTCGTTGTCCGACTACCGATCACAATCACAGTTATCTCCTTCTTATCCTTATTCTTGTCGATGTCCTTCTTCAGAGGGAAGAGCACGTCGAGAGATTCGGGTTTGCCGGTGTCGTACACCAGGACATAGCCGTCGGCGAAGCCGAGATAGTGCCGTGGAAGCTGCTGATTGTTTATATTGCTCTGCAGAGACTCGAGCCCGGCCGTGTCGTAGAACCTGACCTTCTCCTTTGTGCCCCGATCAGTCTCAATGTTGGCGACGTAGATGTCCTCGATTGTGGGATGAATTTCCTGCGGAGTTGATCGCAATTTCAGGCAACTAAAGTCTTTATTTACGCTCCCGCAGGCCCGATGAGGGGGGGGGGGCTACATAACCTAAGCGCATACCGTTTTCGCGTTGATATTTCCGTATATCAGCTGCTCCAGCAGGGCGGTCTTGCCAACGCCTTTCATCCCGCAAACGACTACCCTCGTGGTCTTCCCCATGCCTAAGTCCCGCTCTTCGTTACGTGCCGACCCTCTCACGTAGCGATAACATTAGATCCGTTTGACACCTCCTAGCGATGGCTGTCCCGTTGCATCGGGTGCGCGTGGGAACACGGGGGAACCGCTCGCGCGTGGGAGAATAACCGAACGCGTGCCCGTGTTGACTTGTTCTTACTTGGCCAGCACTGATTCCAAGCCAGCCAGGAACGAGGGACGCGTCTCGCGGCAACACATCGATAGGATGTTCATAGACTGATAGTGTGAAAGGTGGCTGGATAACGCACAATGAAAAAAGGTAGCAGTAAAGTATAACAATTTATTCGTCCAACAGTAGGTTATATAATATTACATATAGATAAATATATAATATTGTTATACATAAATAAAAGATATAATATTGATTTATCTGAGCAAATTCTTGAAATGTAAAGTACATCGAGCGATTTCTAACGACCGGACTTTTATCTTTTGGAGAACGTAAGAAGACATTTTCTGCGACATTTTATTAGACAATGTGCTTTGCATATACTTATAAATCTGAAATAGATTATATCAACATTTTATTATCTCTGTGTTACGTACATTCTTGTTGCATATGAGACATAATATTTATTGATTCTAATTACTTGTGAAAGATTAAAAAAACTCGAAGAAGGCAGATCGAAGAAGAAAAGTTGGAAAGAAAAATGAATAAGAACTTAATTGTCGTTAAGGAATGGACAAAGAGGCAGAATAACGAGAAGTGAGAAATAATCAAACAAGACATTTTGAAGAAAATTCTCTACGAGAGAGAGAGAGAGAGAGAGAGAGAGAGAGGGATCGAGAAAAAGAATTAAAATGAAGATCAAAAAAGAAATAACAAAGAATGAAATTGTAGGAAAGAATTCTTCATATGAAAAGAGAGAAAAATGGAAGGAACAATAAAGGAGAAATATGAAAGAATAAGAAAAAATATTGAGAGAGAGAGAGAGAGAGAGATTGAAGAAGAGGAAATACAGTAACGATAGTACAAGAAAGTTTCAAAAAGGTTATTGTGGAAGAGGAAAAGTAATCTATCTGTACATTACACGTATCAGTAATATAACTCGTTTTCCACATAATTAGGAGATGTATGCCATACATTTATATTCATAAAATTTACCTTGGAAAGTTGATCTTCGGAATACAAATGATTAATAATGTCTGTTAACGCGACCAATATCTTGATATCTCTGTAAAAGGGAAGTATTAAATATAATTTTAATTAGTAGAGGAAGATCTATTAGGAGAGAGACTCCTTATATAAGATAGTAGGGTTTCTACTATATTAATAAGCATCATATGTTGGCTCCATCATGTATTTGTTGTTCTTGAAATAAAATTTGTTTAGCAGAAAAGTTATTGTTAGATCGTGTAATTGTTGCGAAAGAAGATTAGCGATTGAAGTCGGATATTGAAAACCTGCTGTCTCATATTAAAAGACTATCTCATAATAGTGGACTTCCCTCATATAATAAACGTCAACAATTTTAAGTGATGCAAGTTTATGAAAAGAATATTGTTACCTGTATATTATGTTCGTGAAATGTTTTAATATGTAATCGAGGATCACGTTCTTTTTTGCATGTCGTGCGATAATAGAATGAAAAACTTCAATACGGTCTTGTGCTTTTGTAAAATAGATTTCTGATTTCAGTCGATCGATGTAATCCATGATGATAACATAGTTTTCAGAACATACTAAAAACTTTATAAGTTTTTTATTTGTTAAAGATGCATCCATCGCTTTCTCCCAAAGGGATCTGTCCGCGTTCATCATTCCTTTACAATGTATCCATTCCATCCATCCTGGCACAATTCTAGAATATTAGGCAAAAGAGAAATAAAATCTCGTTATGACATTAAATTCTCGATTAAGGTTGTTGTATATTTTGATAATTTGTTCTACACCATTGATTAGAAAAACTATGATTATGAAAAATATTATTCGTACGGACGAGACTGATCATAAAGCCAATTTAAGTAAAAACGTGCAGTAGCTGTGCACTGTGAGGAACGCAGGATGCATGCCCATTTTGCGGCTTCTTGTCTTAAACATTTAATAAAATCATTGTCTCCCTCTTTGTTTGAATATTCTAGTTTATTCAGAAGAGAGTCCAAGATTTTCTGAAAATGGCTCTAAAATCAAAGAAATAACATAAATTTTACATCGATGTGTTGTCAATTGTAATAAGAATGTATGCCGGCGGATAAATTTATACATATATGTATTTAAAAACTTTTTATATATTAATTATTTGCATTTCGTTTTTTTCAATAGTTAAAATACGTTCGTCTAATCCTTAGGCTAACCGTACAAATACGTAGTTAATATTACTCCAGATCTTAATATTTGAAAATGCACATCAAATCCGTCATGATGGTATCCACACATTAACACAGCCACAAACAAGCTAATAATTATCGGTAGCGTGATGATAAACTGTCGGTCATGTGCAGAAACTTTACTACAAAAACAGCAATGATAAATTGTCTGTCGTGTGCGGTTAGCCTTAGAGTTTATCTGATATATAAAATGTAAATTTTCAATGATTTCCGTGTACTATTACATGTACTCTGTTGAGATAAATTAATTCTTGTATAAAATTGTTTCTTTTAGAAAATTTTTATGAGCTTTTCAGTTTGTGTTAAGACCTGTATCTCTTAAAGAGAAAAGTTGACATAACATTAAAAATATTAATCAGATATGACAACATATTGTAGATATTATCATGTTTTATAAATTCTATAATATGTTACTGGACGAATATTTATAATAACATGGTTGTGTGTGAATGTGTGTGCACAAAAATTTTTAGTGTTTAAAATATAGAAAATATAGTCAGGCCAGAGAGAAAGAGAAAATGTAGTTAATTTTTACTTCATATATTTTATATATTTAATTTAAATCAGATAACTAGTACGACGAAAAACGTAACTTTATTAATAACATATTATATATTTATACGAATTTTCCAGTTTTTTTAAACATACATTTGATATTTTAAATGCAACAATAAGATAATTAATACTTTTCATTGACAATATCTATTACCATCTACCTTAATTTCCGCGCTCCTTTGAAACGGGAAAACGCCTGATATCTCTTCCATAATTTTGAACACAGGATACCATACCGCATAATTTATATCATTCGACAGATAGTTCGTAAGGTTTTTAAATAAAGAGAAGTCCAGTTTGTTATTTAATAGAAAATAATACGCATCGTCGATTATCTGTGCACGATTGCGTACAGATATATAGTAATATGTTTCTGAATGTAGACATGTAATAAGTTTTTGCCAATTATCATAGTCGTAATTAACACGATGGTATCCTGTCATATACAAAGAACAAATAGCATAGTTAACTATACAGAATAGTAAATCGAATCGTATTTCTACATAATAAACATAGAAAAGAATATATTGATTTATATTCACCAGCTCGGTCTACGTTAACAATGATCCATTGATTGCTGTCAACATCAGTTAAGTGTAAAATTGGCTCCTGCGGACTCAGCCATTTTTTATATTCAAATTCGGAAGAGTTTTGCATAGTGTAAGTCACCGGAATCCACAAATTTTTCGAATAGGATTGATTAAGATATTCTTGCAATAATTTTATTTCGGTCCTATTGCCTTTCTGTCGCGTCACCTGCAGTACTGTATAACGTTCTTGTGTTGTCCATTGACTTAATTTTTCCGTTAAGTTAATATTTAATTCGGGTGATATTTCGTCATTTTGCAAAATATTCAAGAACATGTCGAATGTGTTATTCGAAGAATCGATGGATCTCAGCTTGCTAAATTTGTAAGGTTTAATATTAAAGGCTATGACAAAGAGATTGTGCATTGGAAAATATAAAATCGCTATTCAATATATTCGTATTATTAACACTATGCAATGAGATTTATGCAACCAATTGTATCACTTATAATAATACTTAATATTATTACGTTTGATTTTGTATTCAGTAAATGATTATTATATATTATAGTTATTACTTACTGCATTGATAAATATGCATTGAGACCTTGGAGAAATGGGTATATGGTTACCGTGTGTACTAGTGCGTATATAAAAATTGGTGCTATAAAACAATTAATATTATAAAAGACGATATAAAGCAAGTTTAAAATAATTTAAGCACAGGTCTAATAATATTAAAAATCTAGTTGATTTTAAATTTCAATTATGATTACGCGTATTCTTTTCTTACTAAAAATATGTGTCTTAGCAAAACTAACGGATAAATAGATCGTATACAAAACATACAGTTAATCTTTCATATGTCTCTATGACACTAATATTTAATAACTTTCTATGCGTAATTATTTTACAATATTTAACTATTCTTACCTTTAATGTAATAAGTGAAAGGGAAAGGAGAAATTATGTCAGAGGGTTCAATGATTTCTGATACAAGAGACATATTGTAATAATCATTCAAATGGAAAAAGTCATATAGAAGTTGTACTGTGAGTAAATCCGTGTAGTGGAAATGTACAGTCTATAGTGACAAAAATGATAATGTGATGAAACAGTTATTCGATTGGAATACTACCATTTACTGTGCATTGTTACTAAAAAAAGCTTTTTATTTTTTTAAGCATTATAGTTTAAAAATATTAAACCATTTTCTTAAATGGTATGCAGTAAAAATTAGCCATTATTCAAACATTAAAAACAAATTCATGAATTGTAACTAAATCATTTCAAAAGGGTATGCACATTTCTAAATTTAATATATTTTTATATTTCAACATACACAAAAAATTTGAGCAAGCAATATTTAGTGACTTTGACAAAAATTAATGTAATTGGTAAAAGTTAAAGAATTTTTTACGTATTATCAACAAGCTGTTCTTTCAAATGCATAGTGGCACAAAAGTTTATAAGTAAGGAAACAACCTCTCTGACGATTTCCATTGCCAAAAACGTAGCGATGCCTTCATTTAACCACAAATAAGACCACCAAGTCTGGATGACTAGATTGCTGACATAATGATGTATCATTTTACGTGCTACCGTGAGTGCTACTTCAAATTTCCGCGTATTGAAATCTAAGTTTTCATCATAGATAATATCTGACTCTCTAAAATACAATAAAATAATTCAGTCAAAAGTCTTCTTCTGATAATAAGTATCCAATTTAATCTATGGTGATATAAAAATGGCATTATCAATAATTTGAACGGACGATGTAAGTTTTGGAAGTGATATGCTGTAAATTTATATTACTCTGTAAATCTGTTAATGCACAGGGTATCATACCATGGTTATTTGTTGTTATTAAGTAAGAGCAATCTATAATAAATGCAAAAATGTGTGCATTTTAGATTTTGAAAGTTTTATTAGAAGAAATTAAAAGCATTTACAGCAAATCTTCCTTCCAGATAAAAATTTCTAAACATTGAAATTTTCTTTGAATTATTTTATGAAAGTACCCGTAAAGAATGAGCCCCCAACTTTCTAGGCCTGTATCTCGAAAGCCCGGAATTATAACATGATCCACTTTCGATGGAACACGCATGGCAAATAAATGTTTCATACGCCGTCTGGTATCATTAAGAATCTGCAGTGCGAAGTTTAGTTCCTTTTTCACGTCTTGTCTGTACCACACCTTTGGGTCATTAGTATAGGTGAGTCTGTATAATACCACGGCTACGTGGTGAGGAGATATATTCTCCGTTGTTTGGAAGTGTGTCCAAACCATACCACCGTCAACTAGAAACTCTCTGTCAACCGGCGAATTTGATAAAACCAGATAATTTATGGGATACTTTACGGAAATTGTAAAATTGGTCCTAAAATTGGGCTCATCCCAGCATGGAAATATTTGTCGAGCCCCAGCTCCCTTGAAATTAGCTGCTGCGAGCACCCATCTATTACGTTTGAATAATTTGCTTTAGATTTTCACTCATTGCGGATTGCCGCTATATACACTCGGAAAAATTTCCATCGGATAAACCAATTAAATAGTGTTTCCGATAGTTAATTTTTCCGATTACGTTTTCGGATTAAATTATATCTAGTGTGCTTTCATTATGCTGAGTTCTCATATTTTACTTTATTTATAATGCTGCGATTTTCTTAAACTATATTGTATTACTAAACTAACTTTATAATATTTAGATTATATTATCTAATATTATTATTATATTATCCGAATTAATTAAAATATGAGGCAATTAAAAAATAAGAAGAATAATTTTATTATTTTGTTATAATTAGTATGTAACAAAAGTAATTATATCTATTAAAGTTTTATTACTCACGTTTTTTCTCCTTTACTGTCTATATAGGATTTTTTGACGAAAGCTCCTGTGTTATCAGTTATACTACCGACAAATTTCATGATTAGACGGTATGTATAAGAATCAGGTATCGGAAGATCAAGAAAATACAGGCCCACAATTTGCGTTTCAGAATCGTACATGTGAATCTTTGGTATATAAGAAACATTGTTAAGATCGCCAAAAGAAGGAACAAGTTTTATTGACTTAAAATCTATTTCCAGATTAAACGCATGCAGGCATATTTTAGTTAGATGGATTTTAAATCGAAAAAACATGGTGGATTCTCCATAAAAGAAGAAGTTGTTGTTTGCTCGTTGCCTGTTTATATATGAGTGAAATTGTTCAGGAATTATATTTATATTTTTATAGTCATCTTCGTTGACGAATATTGTTAAGTTAACGTTATAGCCTAACACTTCTAGTGATTGCATCTCTTCACGACAATTTACTTCATTCTTCGAGACTTTGCCGGTAACGGCTTTTACAAAAATTAACATTAGCCTAAGACCTGACAATAACGTTAATAGATCCATGATGATTATTAAGTTAAATATCTGTAACAATATTTCTTTGTGAGATATAATACATGTTTCAAATTTGTGTCGGTTGTGATATGCAAATGGCTAGACTTGAATAAGATTTAATCTTAAGAACAAAAGTCTTTTCTTAAGAATAAAAGTTTAATGTAAATTATAGACTACATAGACATCTGCGTGATTCACAATGTAATTATAATGGAACATTTTAATTAAGATTTTTACTGAATTTTCTTTTACGTTAAATTACAAATATGTGACAATAAAGCGAGAATTTTGCCAACTCATATATTCCTATTATATGTCTTATTTCGATTTATAGTTTTATTTATACTTTCTAGAAACAAATTTAAATTTAGAAACAAATTAAAACAATTTAATTCTATTTTGTTTAGTAAATACTGTAACTTGGTTTCAAAAATATTTATTTGTAAAGGACCATAAAATAAGAAAATTTAACTTGAGTCTTTTACTTGTTGGCACTTTCAATTTAAAAAAGTTTTTATTGTAAATCGGTAGAACAGAGAAGCTATAAGCAGGATATCAGTACCGAATGAATAAACAAAACAGTTCAACATATACAAAAAATTATTTAAAACAAGTTAAACGTTTCGATTATCCTACGTGATCCTCTTCAGTGACATATACAATATAAATAAGATAAATTAAATACATCTCAGACTAGTTTACATAAATCTTAATTAAGAGCCGAATATTAATTTACAACAGTGGACATTGCAACGACTAAAAAACAGATCTCACTATATGTGACAGAAAATAATCTCACCTTGGTAGAAGTCGGATGGTTGTGTCCGTATTGCAGTAGGTACGTAAGAGAAACACCAAATACTTGGTACGGTATTGGGGAGGAAATCAGTTACTCCATGTATGCAAGCGAGTCCAAGATAGTGTGAAACTTATAAAAAGTTCATACTCCGTGCGTGAGACGACTTTTTATGATATCGATACAATTATCCACGGAAAAATGACGAATCCATTGTCTTTGTTTTATCGATTTTACTGCTGATTTGGAGCCCTTATATTATAATTTTTCGGTTTTTATTATACATTTAAAATAATTACAGATGTTTCTTGTCTTTTCCTGTGTACATTGCAAGTGCAATTAATATATAATTTCTGAAAATTAATTTACGGTTGATAACTTACCTTTGTTAGGAACAGAAATATTGTATGTAGTCATGTAAACACAATCTTACGTATCGAGAGTTCACTGAAAACTAACGACTTCAAGTACGTAATGCGTGGTGCCTTGAAAACAAACTGTAAGGACGTAGATACCCTAGGGCCTAGTTAATAAGCTAAATAATATAACCATACATACAAACATATGACCAACTACAATAATAGCTTTTATGTCTGATTGTAAGCTAATTTTTTAATATAAATTTTCAATTGTATGCATTCCTTTAGAAAATTCTAGTGGTACGTATGTCACTTTTTATAATTTATAAGAAATGATTACTTCATACAATATACATATACATGTTGTGACTTACTAGATTTAATTATTTTTAATCCCACATATTAATACATTGTCTCCATAATTCCATGACAACGGTTTTTACTGATAGAATTCACTCTCATATTACTGCTCTCAATCTCAATACCTCCGACTCTTATCGGTAACCTATTTATGTATAATATTAATTATTTTAAAATATTTTTATATTTGTACCGTTAAATCACTTGAAAAGGACCACAAACCATGGTCGAAACGTTGTGAATTCGCAACATAAAAATTGCCAGACATAGTCAAGTTATCATTCAAGTCTTTTAAGTATTTTTACTTACCTATATGTATATGTGTACATACCTTTTATAAATTATCATATGCATAAACATATTAAACCTATTCTTTTTACACGTTTTCCTTTCGATTGTAATTTAAGATCTCACGTGTTGAAATAGAAAATTAACCCGTCTGACAGAAAGAAGAAAAGTAATACTAACTAATAATAAATTTATATTTTACGATAAAGTTTGCAGCCATACGCATATCGATGATATTACACTTGAAGCCAAAATGAGGAAAGAATTGAACCATGAACGTTTTTATTCCCTAAATTTTTAAACTATTATATTAGTATTTGTATTGTTAACAGCAACCAATAGGATATTATTAAAGACCAATTACGAAAGAAACTTTTTATTAGATAATACATAATTAAAAATACGAAGAAAACGCAAATTTATTCATAAAACAATAAACTATATAATATTACACAAAAATAAATATATAATATTTGTAAACAACGATGCTTTCTCATATTTTATGATTAATTATTCAAAATTTTGTCTCTAAAAAACTCTTGAAGTAGGAAACATGGTTTTGGATTTCTGTCAATCGTATACGTGTTTTATTGGAAAGCTGCATAAAAAATATGTGCGAAGAAAAATTAATTCTCACAAAGTTGGTCACCTGAAAAAGATGTTAGAACTTATTATTAATACATTATTTAGTCTTGTTGTATACGAGAAGCAATATTTATTTATCCAATATTTATCCGGAAGATGGAAGGACACTGAAAAATGAAAGTCTAAAGAAATTGTAGATCACGAACCAAAAATTGACATATAATTTACCTTTGTAAGTTGATCTGCAGTATATAGATGATTAATAATGTCTGTTAACGCCACAATAGTCTTAATCTCTCTGTAAAAATTAAATACCAGATGCAGTTACAATTAATTCATGCAACAAGCTTTTACGATTAAAAAACATATATAAAGAATATTGTTACCTAGGTATTACATGTGAAAAATTTTCTAATATATAATCGAGGACGAAGTTATTTTTCGCATGTCGTGCAATAATTGAATGAAAAATTTCAAGACCGTATTCTCCTATAAAATATCCTGATTTTAATTGATGGATGTAATTAATGATGATGGTACTATTTTCAGAACATGTTAAAAACTTTAAAAGTTTTTTATTTGTGAAAGATGCATTCCACATTCTCGACCAAGTCTCAACATACGCTGTCTTCATTCCTTCACAATATATCCATTCCTTCCATCCTGGCACAGTTCTAGAATATTTTGTAAAATAATAAAAATTTGTTATAGCGCTTTCGTTCTTATTGTGTGTTTTATATTTCAATAATTTCCTTCCAAGCGACGAATGGAAAAACGACGATTGTAAAATATATTACCCGTGTGCCAATTTATAATATGTTGATAACATTACAGAGGCACTATCGAGACACTTTGAAGAATTTAGAGTGCATGCCCATTTTGCTGCTTCATATTGTAAAGATTTGTCGAAAATATTTCCTTTTCCAACCTCTATATATCCTATCTTTTCCAGGAGAGATTCCAAAATTTTCTGAAAGTGTTCCTAAAAGCATATAGGTAAACATGAATTTTATATTGATTTCTTATAACAGGAAACACATGCATGATGTATGAGTACATAAATATATTTGGAAAATTTCTTTATATTTCAATTTTAAATATTTCTTCATATTTCAATAATTGAAACACGTTCCACGAATTCTTTAATTTTATCTCGTATAAAATTTCACTTTATAAAGATTTAAATATTATATCTACATACATATATATTTTGCTGAGATAAATTTTTACAATTGTACACAAATTTTTGTTGTTAGGAAATTTTTATGAGCTTTAAAGTCGTAATCTAGATCTGTTAGAGAAGAAAGTTAACATAACTGTAAAAGTCTCTGAACGTAAGGTCAGATATAATGGTATGGATGTGTATGCTATTAGCTTTATAAATTCTATAATATATTCATTAGTAACTATTAATATTTATAATAATAATAATATTGAATGATATGTATACAGATAGAGTTATAGAATAACTTTTAGTGTTTAAAAATATTTAAACAGGAAAGAGAATCATATTTCGCATTTAAATATTCTATGTCATAATTTAAAGAAGTAACTTAAGGGAAAAACGTTACTAAATTTTGTTAGTTATATACTTTAAGTAATATTTTTCACTTTTGCATTAAGAAATCTAATACTTTTTACGCGGCGATCAGATAAATAATATTTCTCATTTACGAAATATTCCACAATGCACCTTAACTTCCGCGCTCTCTGGAAATGGAAAGAAGGCTGACATCTCTTCCAGAATTTTGAACATAGGATACCACGCCACATAATTCGTTTCATTCGATAGATAGAGTGTGAGGTTTTTGAAGAAAGTGAAATTGAGTTCGTTGTTTAATAGAAAGTAATACGCGTCGTCAATGATCTGTGCACGATTGACTACGTCTATACCAAGGTAGTTCTCTGAATTTAGATATTCCATAAGTTTTCGCCAATTATAATAGTCGTAATTAACACGATAGAATCCTGTCGTACACAAAGAACAAATATTATGGTTAACTATGCAGACTAGTAAATCGAACCTTATTTCTAAATAATAAACATAGAAACATATATTAATTTATATTCACCAGTTCGGTTTACAAGGAACCATTCAATACTGTACTTATTATCTAATTGTAAGTGTATGATTGGTTCCTGCAGATTGTGCCATTGTTGCTCTGTATTACCGTGAAAGTACTTTATGGTTACAATCCCTGGTAACCACGATATTTTCGGATGCGATTGATTAAGATATTCTTGCGTGCTGTTTAATGTAGTCTCGGAAGATCGTGTCACCCGCAGTACTGCATAACGTTTTTGCTTTACCCATTGACTTACTTTTTCCGTTAACTTAATATCTAATTTGGGTGATAAGAAATTTTGCAAAACATTGAAGAATATGTCGATTGTGTTCGTCGAAGAATCGATGGAGCGCAACCTGCTAAGTGTTATAAGGGTTAATATTAAAAACTGTTGCAAAGAAATTGTGCTTTGGAAAATATAATAACGCTATTCATTTTATTCGTATTATTAATATTATGCACTTAGTTTTACGCAACCACAATTGTAATAGTTATACTAATACGTGGTAATACGTTAGAATTCGTATTTAAAAAATAATTACTATACTATAGTTATTACTTACTACGTTATTAAGTATTTTTTGAGAGCATTCTGAAATGCATCTGAGGGTGTTAATAATGGTAATGAGTGTATATGAACCACCGTGTATATGAAAACTGGTGCTACAACAATTAATATTATAAACGACGGTAGAAAGTAAGTTTAAAGTAAATCAAGTATAGTTATAATAATATTAAAAACATATTTAGTTTATTTTAAGTTTTAATTATGAATACGCGTATTTTTTGTCACTAAAATGTGAATCTTAGCAAAACAAATGGTTAAATAGATTGTATACAAAACTTACAGGCAATCTTTCATATGTCTCTATGACACTAGTATTTAAAAACTTTCTATGCGTAGTTATTTTACAATATTTAACTATTCTTACCTTTAATGTAATAAGTGAAAGAGAAAGAAGAACTTATATCAGAGGGTTTAGTGATTTCGGACATAAGAGGCATATCGTAATACTCATTCAAACGGAAATATTCATATTGAAGTTGAACTGTGAGTAAATCCTTGTAGTGGGGATATACATACTAGTGAGAAAAATTGTAATTTGTTAAAAGAGTTATTCGATTAAAACTCTAGGATTTACTTTGAATGACTGCTAAATACAGTTTTATATTATTTTTAACTGTATAATTAAAAATATTATGTTTTTTAAAAGGGCATGCAAGTTATGAAACTATACTTTTACATATTAACAATTAACTTTTTTTTTCATTGCGTAATGGTGCAAAAGGTTTATAAAAAAAAACAACCTGACTAATGATCTCCATCGCCAAATACGAAGCAATGCCTTCGTTTAACCACATATAAGACCACGAAGGTTGAGAGATCAGATTGCCATAGAATTGATGTACTATTTTCCGTGCTACCATGCGTCCTACTTCAAGCTTCCATGCAATGAAATCTACTTTTTCATTGTAGAGAAAAATTGCTTCGCTGAAAATAAATAAATAATTCGATAAAAAATCTATTTCTAAAAATAGTGCCTTGGACCCCATGGTAAAAAAGATAATATTGATAATTTCGGTGAATTACATAAGTAATGTGTTCTAAATATGCATCGCTCTATAAATCCGTTAATGCACAATGTATCACAAAACGTTTTTCGTGTTGTTATTTTGAAATTCTAGAAAATTTTATTAAAAGCAAATTTATCTTTCAATAAAAATTTTTCATATTCATATATGTAAATGTACCTATAAATAATGAGTCCCCAACTTTCCAGTCGTACGTCTCGAAAACCTGGCATTATAACATGAGTTACTGCCGGTGGAAGGTTTAACATACTAAATGCTTTATCCATATATTTTGTGGCATTTGAAATAATTTTCTCCGCAAATTTTGTTTGCGGTTTCACTTTGGTTCTGCCCCAAATATCTACTGGTTTGGAGAGTTGGGCGAATTGGATTAATACAACGGCTACGTGATATGGGGATATACTATCCGTTGACTTGAAATGTGACCAAGCCATATCATCTTTACCAGTTGGTAGATAGACCGAAATTGCCTCATTCGATATAACCGCGTGATTTTCACGATGCCTTACGGAAATTGTAAACTTGGTCCTTATATTTGGTTCGTCCAAGCATGGAAATAGTTGTCGAGCTCCAGCCCCTTGAAAATCGGCTGCTGCAATCACCGATCTATTATATGTAAAAAATATACTTTTAATGTATAATCTCTGCGGCCACATAAGTATTGAAAATTGAAAAATATTCAAACATGAATAAGAATATTTGTAGAATAATGTCCAATACTCTTTCGTTAAACTGAGTTCGTATGTTTTATTAATTTTATTTTCACATAACGATATTTTTAAATTATGATGTATGTTACTAAATGTCTATAATATTTAGATTTTATTATTATATTACTCCAATTAAATAGAATATGAGTCAATTAAAAATAACAAAAATAATTATATCATTTTGTTACAATTATTGTGTAACGAAAGTAGTCATATCTATTAAATTTTTACTTGCCCCATTTTCCCGCTGTGTTTTTTGTAGAATGTTTTGACGAAGGCTCCTGTGATATACGTTATACTACCGACAAATTTCATAATTAGTCGATGAGCAATAAACTTATGCAGGTCAACATCGTCAACAGTAAGAACGACCGTTTGTGTTTCGTTATCATATTTATGCATTCTCGGTTTATAGGACCGAGCTACACGATCATCACTCCTTATATCAGTATACATAATTGTTGTTACTTCATCATCTATTTTCAAGTTTTGTGTATGAAGACGTATTGTATTTATTTTACTTTTACATCGAAAGTGCATAGTTAATTGGCCATAGAAGAGAGAATTTCCTTTTATTACTTGCTCATCGATGTATGATTTTAAATTTTCAGTAATTTCAATGTTTTCATAGGAATCAGGAATGTCCATCCTTTTATAGTCATTTTCGTTTACAAATGGTACTAATATGATGTCATATCCTGTCACTGTTATTGACTCTCTATTTATGCTATCATGTACTTCAGTCAGTGAGTCGTGATTATTAGCAGCTTTTACAGAGATAAATATTAAACTAACATCTAACAATAGTTTTAATATTTTCATGATGAGTCTTGTCGATATGTGTAACAATGTTTCTTTATCTGAAGAAAGAAAGGTACAAACACAAATTGCGAGAAAAATATTTCGCTGTCGTCACATATGTATAAGAACGACGGGAATTAAACAACGACGTAAATAAAATGACCTTACTTGGAAAATGTAATAGATTTCTAGGTGACTTTCAGTAAGTTCTTTTTGAGCTTATTTAACATTGGGAACTTATGTCAACTGTGATATGTTAAATAACAATATATAAATGCGTGCAATTTAAATTCAAGATAATAGCATTATAATAATGAATTCAATCATCGATATAAATCACAGAAATAAAAGGTTTATGACGGTAATGCTAGATCTACGTGACGAATATTTTTGGGTATACATCTCTATTCAACATAGCAACTGCGAGCCGCGAACCTGGGAAGGTTCTTCCCGGTTAGTAATAGGGAGGTCCAGATGCTAAATCTAGCTGGGTAGTATTTTTCACAAGAAATTTACAAATTATTTCTAAAGTTTGCTTAATCAGCATCATTATTAAATTAATTGTCAAGTTAATTAGATATAGGGTTTCGATATTTCAAGACCGATAACGTTATCGGCGCCCAGTCGTTATGTCGAATAAAAATGTATACGCGCGAAAATGTTAGGCACAAATATCCAGAATTATCGTTACAGACCTTTTTATTGCGTGATTTATTGAAATAGCATATTGTGTTCTTAATTTTAATTATTTGAAATATGTTTTGTTGTACATTCACCTTAAGAAAGAATTGCCAGATCGTTCCTTTATTCTATGTATTGAAATTGCGCTCCCATCTGAGATCAAATTTCTCTTAGTAATTACTTTATAGTTTACCGTATTAGTGGAGAAAGCACGTTATTGTAACCACAATCGTCTCAAACGCACGTTGGGAATGCTCAGGTACTAATGATGATATCGATAGTTCGGGATAAGTGCGTGTGCTAAAATCTAACTGTAAGGTCGTACGGTAATAATAAATAACATAGCTAAAGCCAACGGCGTACACGATACTATTTTTCCCTACTGGATTACTGACGAGACCCAATAAGGATGCAGTGTTTCAGATCAGGTGACTTAAAACTAAATCCTGATTGGTTTTCTCGCAAGAAATCCAGCAGGAAAAATAGTATCGCGTGCCGTTGGCTTAAAAGAGAAAGAAAGTGAGAGGGGTGAAAGTCGTATCCAAGATAACAAACTAAATAATACGTTAGCAAAATCAAAGAAGAAGCTGAGATGCCACGTCACTGCCATAGGAAGTTAACACCTCATATCTTCGCGGTGCTGTTTATATTATTATTTCGACGTAGTTTGGCTATTTGAAAACTGTTGTGTTTTTAAACTAGCCAGTATAATTAGTCTTACTGTTGAATATTAAATACATTTTCTATTTTTTATAAAGAATTTTTATTAATCAACTTCGATAATTCGTATAATTAATATTCTTTGTATGTACACTGGTATTAATCCATGATAATCTAGCATAAATTAACACAAACGAATAAATAAATCAATAAATAGTTCACGAAAATTAACAGCAATTATCACAATCGATATTTTTTATCGAAAATAAAGTAGGGTAACAAAACTTGACGAAATAAATACATGTTATAAAGAAGTACGAGTTCCTTCTTTCTAGAATCATCATGGATGTTTGTAATATAGGTATATCCTTTTTAGTTTCTGTTTCAGCAGCTTCCCACAACTTTCTTTAAAGCTTTGCGTCGTTTATTTTATGTCAAATGCAAACAATGTAAGAAGGTGCAGCTAAAAAGGATAGACCTTGTTTATAGCCTTTTTTTTACTGAACATTATTCTCCGATAACATAGCGCTTGCTGAATCGTTCAGAGTAATACAGAGATTGAAATGTCTTCATAAGTAATACCCGTAAAACTGTCGCCGGTCTATACATATTTCTTTTAATATATGTTTTACAATATATTTTTTAAAGACGTATTAATGATTAATCAATTTCACGAACGTATCTACTTAAGTATACATTGCCGCTTTAGTACACTGTTAACGTTTCAGTCTGTAACAATTCTAATTGTATAGTATAGAATCTTATCAATTGGTTGCTTAAGGACGTATCGAGATCGGCAATCCATTTTATACTTGGATCAAAATCGATCGCATTTCGTTGCGCGAATTTCGAGCGTTCTCAACATTTCTATATAATTAATTAGAATTTAAATTTAAAAAATCCCGTTATTTTTGAGCAATTCGAAATTTCTATCTGAAAAGCATTTTTTCGTGTTATACGATTTTAAATGCAAAGTGAGTAATAAAGTTTCTTAACTAGAGCAGATACAGATTTTTCAGAGCGTCTGTATAACGAATGCAGCAATTTCCGCCTTGAAACTATACAACATTCGTACTTCGTGATATCATTTTCGATTCAAGTCGAAAAATAACGAATATGTATGAGTTAGAAATTAATATACAATAAAATTCCCTTTGGAAGCCAGAGTATTAAGGGGAATTATTTATGCAATTCACAATTTAGAAAATATTGAATACGTATAAATGTAATACGTATAATACGTATAAATGTAAAACGCAAAACCGGCCTATATCCTTAATCGTTATCAATTTATGGACATTTCGATAGGACTATCTTTGAGTCTGTTTTTTATGCGTGAGTTTTTGTAGTTTCGCTTTCAATCCATGCGGATTTAATTTTACTCTTACAACATCAGATTTGTTCTCGAATTTTTTACGAACTTTTTCCATTTGTTCCTTTCGTATTCGCTGCTGTTCCCTCTTCCAGATATCCTACAAAATATGATCCGCCGTAACTTACTCGCTCAGTAATTTCGAACCTTGTGAATTACCTTAAAGTCCCGACAGAAACCAAGCCATAGATTGAAGAAGTCATAAGGTTCTGCAGTCTCCAGAGTGGATCCTTTAGGAATAAACTGATAGAATTTCATCACAGCTTTGAATTTATTTTTAGCCTCCAGTAGCTCTTCCTTTTCGCTCGCCAACTCGGTACTCGCCCTCGTCACAAATGAGTTTACTTTCTTCTTGAATATTTTGGATGTAGATGGATCCTCTTCCACGATTGTATTACACATTTGCGTACATGCTGGACCAAATTAATTTCATTTATCTTATTGATTTCAATAAATTACATGTAAATATAATTGTATATTATATATTAAATTGTATGTAAAACTAGATTAAACTAAACGAAGCAAATAAGTGTGAAACATTTAAAAACGATTAATTCAACGAGTGTACTCGCCACATTGTCTACATTCGCTTTCGATTAATATAGAAATAGTAAAAAAATTCTATTGTTTAAAAAATGAATTTTCTTTTAATTAAATGTGCAAAAAATAATTTGTATGTATACTTCTTAATACTATATTAACAAATTAAAAGAAGATGTAAAATTTATTTGAATATTTCAGGTTAACAATCTGATATTTACAAATGTGATTGTATAAATTCTTTCACATATATTTATCAAACATTTTAAAAAAGGAAGACATAAAGATGACAGTTTTCGTGATTGGCGTAATATTATACGTGATACCACTCACCCTGCAATTCTCTATCCAGTCTATCCAGCTCCTTGGCAATGTCGTCGAACTTGATTGAGGATGCGGCTTCCACGTCAGCCGGTTCAGGCACAGGTAAAGGCAACAGCTCCTCGAAGTTATGTTCCTTTTCTTGAGACAATTTCGCGTTAACAACATAGTGTAACAAGGTTATACCAGGTACATTCGATTTTACGTCTTTCAATTTGCCGAGGATCTCCAGACCGAACCCGTCGGCCTGGCCGCGCATCATATTTCCGCCGTTCATGTAATTGCCCAAGGTCAGTATGATAGCTATTACTTTCTTCAAAGATTCGGAATTAAGCAGGAAGTCGCACGTAGTTCGCACATTGTTCAATTTATATGAAACCGACGATATCGCGTCTTGAAATTCCGATTGCAACATCAAACAGGTTACTCTATCGGAGAAGTGTTTTATCCCGGACAATCGTTTGAGGAATAATTCCGGTTGATCGAGAGGAATGTCCGGATAAGTTGCTTCGTGAGCTGCAATTTCTTCGATTTCCTTTTGCGTCGGTTTCTACGAGTCAGAAGATATCAGAGTGACTAAAAATTTGCGAAACTTGATGTATTTAGAAACGTGAAACGGTGGATTTTGTACACATTTTACATTATGCGTTTTTTAATTATATTTTTATCTTATTTACTCACGATATCGTAGATCTGTTGCAACGCTTCTAGACTGATCACGCTCGTATCCAAATTGTAGGCTGCATTCTCGATCTCGCTAAAATCAATGTGCAGACTCTTTTCAAGAATTCCCACCATCTTCGAACGCTTCGAGTCTAATATCTTCGCAGGTTGGATCTTAGAACCTTTGGGCATCCCTTCATTCTTCTTGGCCGGAGTTCTTTCTCTCACCTGCCGCGAAAATAAATCAGCAAACTCTTTCATGTTTATATCCTCCTCCTCCGCAAGTTCCAACCACAGAGGCGTCTAAATAAGACAGAGAAAATCACTTTTTACGCCACATTTTTTGTCAACAGCAAATTTTATTACATCTTTCGTTTTCTGCTTACCTGGGGTGACACGTCTGAGGTATCTACCGAAGTTTGACTGGTCGCAGTAACTGGCACCAAAATCCTCGTCCAGTACAGTGGCTTCATAGGCACGTCAGGATTCAAAGCTTGCTTTCTCATAACTACAAAAGCCAGGCACTTGTGTTACGCGGTGCAAATATCAGAATCCAAAAATTGAAAAGAGGGTACAGCGTACTCTCGATTAACGGAAGGAATTATCGAGAGTACCCTGTACTTTGGAAATCTTGATACCTACTGGCTCTGCTGGGCGGGTTCCATCCTCCGACCGGTGGCGCGGGTAGAGGACAAGGTCCCGTTGTCCCCGGGGGTGGCGGTGGTGGAGGACCCGCGCCTGAGCCTCCGACGGGAGGCGGAGGTGGTGGAGGTATGCCACCCTGCATACCTGGTGGCGGTGGCGGCGGTGGTGCACCAGTCATAGGACCCTGCGTTCCAGGTAACGGAGGCGGCGGAGGAGGCATCGCACTCGTCAAGAATGACGGTGGTGGAGGAGGCGGCGGTGGTATTCCGTATGTGTTTAACATCGGCGTAGACGGCGGTGGTGGCGGGGGAGGTACGGTATTATTATATAATTTCGTAGACGAAGACATCTCATACGTCGCACTTTGAAGAGGCATAGGTGGTGGTGGTGGTGGCAGTGGAGGTCCCGCCATGCCACTCTCAATACTCAGCGGTTTGACCGAGAACGGGGGCGCGGATGGCGGCGGGGGTGGCGGCGGAGGTATCATGTTTTGCAGAGGAGATGGCGGAGGTATCGCACTTATGATGGCTTGCACAGGCGGAGGTGGAGGAATAGGTATCGTATGCGTGGTACTTGGCGTGGGTGGTGGTGGAGACGGAGCAGGCGGAGGGGACGAAAATGTACTTTGCGCTGACATGGGGGGAGGTGGCGGCGGTGGTGTCGGTATCCTACAAACGTCCGTTAATTTTGTCGACGATGATGGAACTGTCCTTTCGCCGTCACGCACCAGTTCGGTAGCGAGGGTGAACGGGGACGGCGGCGGCGGAGGTGGTGAGACAAAAGACATCGTCGGAATCGAGGTAGGTGTAGATCGGTTTTTCGAGAATGTTTCCGACGATAATGGAGGTGGCAACGATGACGGATACGCCGCCAAATCTTCACTAGGCGCGTTTGTTTGACTGCTATGCGATAAACACGACCGATCGACCTTGTCGATCAACGTGGGGGAGAGCACGAGAGTCATCTTTCCTTGATCGAGATCTGCGACGTTACTTCTGATTGTTGATGATCTAACGCTACCAGCATCTACGTTGCTCGTTTCACTGGCATCGCCGTCAACCAGCGATAAGCTTCTCGGTGATGTCTGAGTAGACTGGCCCTTAGTGCTTATCTGCCGTTCCACGGAAGTCTCGCGCAGCCGTTTGATCTCCTCTTTCAGCCTCTTCACTTCTTCCTCGTACGGATAAGTATCTTTAAGCATGGAGTGTTCGCTGCAGATTTGGCTCGATTTAGTTCGAGCTGAACGAAGGTCATCTGTGCCTGTCCGATCTGTCTGATTAAAACAAGACATTCCAAAAATAAGCAGTCGTGACGGATACGTTGGTTGTCAAAATAGAGATTAAAATCTTACCAGGGACGTAAAATTTCTCTTCGCGCCTTTGTCCGATAGCGCAGAGGTCAAAGAGATTGGCAGTTCTCGGTCTGAAAATTCCATTAATAAGAAATGTAAAATTAGCTCTTCGTTATTGAGATCACGATGAAGCTCAGCGAATTTTTTTTTCGCGCGAACCAAGATATTTTTGTGCTCTATGGACGGACTGTCACTTGGTGAATTCTTCGCAAACATAAAATAAATTTCTGGACGAGCAACTGTTTCCCCTTAACCGTAAGCTTTATATAAGCGTAGAATCAACGACACTTATATCTTTATGAACTTGCAATCTGTCCTAATTAATGATGCACGTTGTAAAATTAACGCGCGACTCTTTATCAAACGCGATGTTCTTATCTCCTTTTATATTCAAGATGAACGACTCTTTTATATGTACCTTATCTTCTAATCGCTTTATCACTAATGCAATTTCTAAGAGAATACTATGGAAAAATCATGTTAATAAACAACGTATAATGTGTATGTAAAACATTTCTGTGAACGCTCGAACATGATTACGTCGCGAGAGAAAAACTTGTGAAGAAGATCGTATAGGAAATCGTTAATGTCATCTACACTTGTCATCAATTACGATTAAAAGGATCGCTGTTTCAGTCCGATATCTTTTCGTATTCAACCGCGAAGACGGGACACATAATGCACGCGTCTTACACGAACGCACTCTCGTCTCTCTCCCGCGATCACTCTTCGATTTCACGTACATTCGAATTAGAACGTTAGACACTTGTTCATCTCGCGACCGTTCCGCGGGTATTTTTTCGGCCCCGAGTACATTGCTGCGCCGCTCCGCAAGAAACTGCCGCATCTCGCTCGCAGACAGGCACGGGAGAACACGAGAATCCGAACCGAACCCTGCGAACCGCCCCATCGATAAGACTTATCGGCAAACAAGCGCGTTTGATTCGCGCATATCACTCGCTATAACCTCGGCCACGAATGATACGGATTATTTGGTGGCCGTTTAAAAAGACCTAATCGACGCCGCCGACGATGAAAGAGCTCGATTATCCTTATCATCGCGTTCTGCTTAATTGCCGATCACGATTGTAACGGTTATCGTTTATCCACCGGTCTCACGACACTTGGCAATTTTTCGCGAACGTCAAATCCCTCGCGCGTTGCGTCACTGTCAGCAAAAGGTATATCGCTCGTGTTTACCCTTAAACGTTATCGCGCGTCTTCTCTTCCGTCACGAGATAAGATTCGCGTTAGGCTCGCAATCATCAGTGCGTGATGGATTCTAGGTCGTACGCTGACCTATGCGTAGTTACAAGTGTTCTATTTTTTGCTTTATCATTTTTATGATTCCACATCTTACGAGTTTGTCCGCCTTCGGAAGGCCTCGTTGGCATCTCTTTCAGGAGAAGATTCGTCAAATGATAAAATTGACGATGCAACACAATTGAGTTTCTCCTGATTGCTATCTCGATCACTTGTGCACTTCCCTCACCTTCGGATTGCCTGTGGTGAGCTGACTTCTGGCAGATGATACTCCTGGAACCTCTTTTCTTCTTGGCGCTATTCCGATCCAGGGTCAAGCTGGCTACTCTTCTCAACACCCTGCCTTCGCACGTGGAAGACTCACAGACACTGTGTCGCCTTTGTGGAGTACGTGGACTCGATATCGCATTCTTCTCGCTCGACGTTACGCCTAAAAATGAAACATTGAGACGTCAATAAAACTGAAGACAAGTAACATTATCTTAGATCCAACATATATATATATTCATTTTATACAATACCACTTCTACAAGACACGATTTGTACAGATGCTATCGTGAATCTGTACCTTAACATGAACTTGTCCGCGTTATACAAACTATTACACGATTGTTTACATAAGCTATCGTCGATTTCTAAATTTCTTAAAATGTCAATTGCCGCGCAAAACTGCGTGAAAGTGTTTGATTACAAAATTAACGAAATTATCCTCACTTATTCGGGGACTCATCACTGAGAGATGGATCTTTTTGTGCTTCGAGAGTGTAAACGAAGGCTTCTCGTCCTTGCTGTCGATCGTCTCCAGGATCGGCTTACGTTTCACTTCCGGTCTCGTGCCTGCCGTGACCGGACTCATAGTAAGCTCTCCGGGATCAGTGAAGACACTGTCACTCGAGGATTCCTGGCTGGGCGGCGTCGGCATTTCCGTAACGACCAGGCCCTTGTTCGCCAAACGCCACGAATCGGTCACCAACAGTGGCGGCAGCTGACTCGTCGGGGTCTGGGCCGGTGTCGTCGTCGACGTCGTGGTACTCGAGCGGAAAGACTCCGCCGTTGTTACGCTTGGCTTCACTGTTATTGCAGTATCCTTGCGACATTCAGGCTCTACACTTTCCTGCGTGTCCTAATTACAAAACAATTTTACACTGCGATTGTTACTCAAGCCGAAGACAGATATAAAATTCTTTTTCCCTGTCGTCCGTCCGGCGACATGACGTTTTACGCCTTATATGTCTCCCTCGATAATCAACGACAAATTACATGTTTATTTCACCTGAGTATATTTCAGCGTATCGAACTATGCGGAACGTCTCGCAGAAGCTCATCTTGAAAAGCCCCTCATCCAATCGATAATTTTACTAAACCGTGTTGAGAGAACAAGGCGGTACCAAATACCTTGGGTAGCACCACCATCGGTGGCGGCGGTGGTGCCTGTCTCTTGACATGCCCCGGCGTGTGCACCTTCTCGAAGCTGATCTTGATCGGCTTCTCGAAGCTGATCTTAATCGGCTCGCGGGGCTCATCACGCCTTTCCGGGACTTTGGGCGGCTGGTCCCGCTTATCCTTCCTTTGGTCCTCGGTTATCTCGGGCTCGATGTCCGTGGACGTGGACGTAGACGTCGGCACCGGCGGGGCATCCTTCTTCTTCTGCTTCTTCTTGCCGTCGCTCTGCAGATTGCCCATCGTGCTGGGCAACTGCGGTGTCAGGCCGTCTAAGTTACCCCAGGAGTAGAACAGTCGGATGTTGTTGACCCAGACGTGGAAGAAGTCCGACAGCTTTGATCGCGGCGACCGCGCCTGGGCCGCGGCTGCGCCTTGACCGTGGCGGGCCTGCATCCGTGGTCGATAATCGGGAGCTGCGGCAACCGCGATCACGGCGTCGCCGTTCAGACGCTCTCGCCGCGCGTCGGCCGCTGCAAATGCAAACGAACAATTGTCACCACGAGGAATTATCGCCAATTATCCGCTCTTCTCGACGAGCCTGAATCCAATAGCGCAAACACGCGTCTGATAAGATCACTCATGTATCTGATAAGCTCAACTTGATCAACTCAACTCGGCAGCAGCTCTAGTCAAGTAAATTTATTAACTATATTGGAAGTAGAATCTTTCCTCAAGATTTGACATTTCACAACCGAGTTTAAGTAATTCAAGGGAAGCGAAGAATTTTAATTTGTAGTTTATTTTTCGCGAGATCTTAAACTCGAAGACATGAACAGTAAACAGCAATCTTTATAAATCGCTTGTGATTTGCAAAAATTGCACAAGTAATAAGTAGCGAATTATTTCTTACGTCGCATCAATGTTGAACGTGACCTTCGATGCTAATTTTGTAGATGTTAAGATCAGACGAGCATTAAATCAATGATGAGAATGCGGATTTTGACTAAAATAGTGTTCATACACGAAGCAAGAATAAACGGGAGAGTATAAATTGATATTGTCCCAATCAAATTACAGATACTGAATTACCTGGATAACTGGATATTTCTCGGATATCGTTGCGTAATCGAATATTGACAGTGCCAATATTAATAACCTTATGTCATACACGGTAACCAAGCGATACGGCGTGCGCTATCGCCTGAACACTAACTGAATATGCCCGTATAACATGACATCGATCTGCTATTACTAGGACATGTTATACACGTCGGTGTCATTGGCAACTATTATTATCTTCAACTCCTGGGATTGATCGCGTAATCGTTCCACGGGAGGGAAAAAATAAAAGCGAAAACTCTCAAGCGGTTTTACGTCGCGATTACTTATCGTCGCGACGCATTTCTTCCTCGGCGAAACGAAATGACACGAAATTTTCGCGTGGTATTCGAAGTAATCGCAGATGAAGGGTCGTAAAAGGCAACGATGTAACATTCAGGCCCGGTTTTTCATTTTCTGGTTAATCGTTAACCATGAGTTAGTCGATTCTCCGTCTCTTCTTAGATAATAACATAAAAAAGGATGGAGAGTCGACTGACTTCTGGTTAACAGTTAACCAGAAGTTAACCAGAAAATGAAGAATCGGGCCTTAATGAGGTAAAATGGATTTAGCAGTCGATTGATTGGGAAATTAATTGAATACGAGTCTCTGGGCAAGGGCGAGGCAAAACTAACTCAACACCTTACGTCGATACGTACGAATGTGAAGTGTGGACAAAGTCCGGACTGTAGGATACTGCTGAAATCCGGACATTTCTCGGCGACAACTTTCCCAGTGAGACTTCACGGATCCTCGCAAGATTTTACGCACATCTTACGCACAGTCGTCGCAAAATTGAATGTACGATTTAATGCTTAGATTATAATCGGCATAATGCACAGGTATTTCCCTCGGTTCATTTTAATTTAGTCAACAGGTTATTGCATTTCTTCCTCGCTTCATGTCGTTGTCAAGTGATATTTCTTCTTGGAGTAACGCTTTTTTGCCGTACGTCGCGTCGCGTATTTAGTCACGTCACCGTGCGAAATATCAACGAATATAATTTTCTTTTCTCCCCACTGAAGGCACACGTAATGTTCTTGGAGCACCGAAAGCTATAACGCGATTGAGACTTCGTAGCGATTCGACGCGTGGCGACGTCGATCACGCGACTGGAACGCGGTGCTATCGGTGCTTATTCGTGCTGTCGCCTTTTATTATGCCCCGGAAAATCAATTTCGGGGGATATCTCAAGGACGAAGAAATAACACATCCTTCAGGCATTCTTTGGTACAATAAGCCCGCGGCAATTTCGGTCAAGTTATGTGAACGGCGCCTTTAGTAAATTGCTTGGACAAATTAATTAATTGCTTCAAATTAAGATATCTCTGTGAACTTCCTCAATACTTCAGCTTTTACTCCTGCACTCTTCTTCACGGGGAGAAAACCGTAGCTGCCGTAGCTAACAACTGTATGTGGCAACGAAATTTTAGTTGTAAGATATGGACAGCTAATTATTTTGCTACTGTGCCCATTGTATTGGATGCGACAGCAAACCGTTTGCTGCAGTTTAGAAATTCATACAGTTACAACGGCAAAGTATCTTTAGCGAACCGTGATTAGCTGCGAAAATGGTTTTTTCAGTGTTCACAATCAATCCCTTCAGAATATCACGAGGCAAATAGAAATAAAAATGCCGATTTTATATTTCTACAGTCGAAGTAAAGAATAAAAATTTACTTGTGCGCTGAAAAAAAAAGTTCGCTACCGCAGCTAATCATGGTTTGCTGAAACCATTTTGCTGCCAGGACTATAAATTTCTAAACCACAGGAAACGGTTCGCTGTCGCGCCTAACGCAATAGGCACGGTAGCAAAATATTTAGCCGTCACTAAATATTAGCTGTCCATATTTTACAACCGGAATTTAGTTGCCACATGCAGCTTTCAGCTGCGGCAGCTACATTTTTCTTCCCCGTGTGCGCCTGAACACGTGGAAATAATATATCTAGACAAGATGCAAGATGGATAATGCTCGCGCGTTCCATTAAAGGGATATTTAACGACCGAATCTTGTCCGTTGGTATTATTAATAATACCCGGTGTTCGCGATTCAATACATTCGACTGAGGAGCGCGGGAAAGCCCGATAATGTTGCTACGTGGCATTAGCTTCGTAACATAATTACGATCATAATGAATTAGAATCACCGTCAGGATTTCGAACATCACGAGCACGCTCGGTAGAAGCTTGCGCGTTAGAGCGGACTCTATCGTAACGCTAGAGGCACGCCGGTGTAATTTGGCGCGACGGAGAGGAGCGTTGCGTTCCGCGGGTATCCTCTTACCTGACTTTCTCGCGTTTCGACAGCATCGTCAGCATGTTAGGCGCCGCACCGCGCTGTACCCGCGTGCCACTGGAAACTCGCATCTCGCCCTTTATCTTTATCGATTGTTCACGGCGATGTGCCGCCCCGCGCATTTTTCACCGGCCGCTCGCGCCGCGACTGTAAAATATCGCCTCGGTTTCCGAGAGGGAAACAGGGGATATCGCACGGGGTGAAAAGCCTCGGAGCGTTTTATCGAGCACGAAGGGGGAGAAAGCCGCGGACGGCGCAAGCCCGCGCCATCGAGCCCACGAGGTCGATGTCTCGACGCGGAGGTCGACGAAGGTAACGGCCACCTCTCGATAGTTCGCGTCCCTTGTGATATAAATCGCACGCGGGAATCCGGTTTCCCATAAATTCCGACTGTTCGGCACTGAACTCCCGCCCGAAATGTACAACATAATCGAGACGCAATCGTTCGAGATATTGCAAACGCTATAATTGAAATCAGGGTTGGGTGAGTTATCTTTTTTTTTTTAAACTAAGTCTTCTAACTAAAACTTCAGTTAAAGTTAACAGCCTTGAAAATTTAACTCAGTTAAGATACAAATTAATCCACAATAAAATTAAATTAAAAGAAATTAAAGAGTTAAAAGTTTAATTTGTTTTATTTTTGCATAAAATCTCAGAGACTTACGATCACGTAAATTGCATTGAATTTCGCGACCAGCGTTTGGACAATCACTCACACTACATGGAATATAGCTCATGTCATATGCAAACAATTTCACGTGAATTCGAGAATCAAAACCCCATATAATGGCTGTGTTCCAAAATTCATTACCAGCGCTGAAGATCTATGGTACGCGTACACAGTAGATTTGAGAGCTGGCAGTGAATTTTGAAACGCAGAGACTGCCAATGTGGGCAGACACACGGCGTCTCGCGACGCCTTTGTTTATGGCATGGCTAACTTTAAGGCCCGGTTTCTCATTCTGTGGTTAATTGTTAACCAGAAAATGGAAAACCGGGCCTAAGAGAGAGAGGTAAATTAAAAGTTAAAAGTTACCGATAAAATGTAACTAAATTCAGTTAAGAGTTAACAGTCTATAATGTAACTAAGTTAAGTTAAAATTATTTGACTTTTTAACTTTACTTTTATTTTTTTAACTAGACACTACCCAACCCTGATTGTATAGACCGATATTCATAGACCGTTCTTGTATCTAAAACCATCTCAAGTATAATTTTAATTTTGTAAACCAATCGCAGGCCTTAAACATAAGATCGGACTATGAATGCCGTCTTGAGCACAATTTTAAGATGTTTCGAATCACAGAGCCGTGTTAGCATCTAAAAACATTGCTTAAGACGATCTTAAAATAAGAACGGACTATAATACGGCAGAAACGTAGTTTTTCTCCCTCGCTGTAACTTTCGCAAACAGCGTCGAGACGATCGCAGCTTCCGAATCGGCGCGAGAGAAAGAAAAGAATGCGAGACGGGAGGAATCGAAAACGCAGGAGATCGTCGCTTCATCGTTTATTTTATATTGCAACATAAAATTTGTACAAATAATAATTCATTATAATATCATAACTATGATGGGTATTAATTAATATACGGATCTCTCTTTCTCTCATGGATGCAACGCGTGCACGCACGTGCGTGCGCGCGACGCGCGACGTCAGTATCATTTAATTAATATATTGCGAGCAGCCGCGCGCAGGGCACGTGGCACGCGGTTGCGGTGCCGGATCATCCCGAGGGACTCGGCGATCCTCGCGAGACCGATTCCACCGGCGGGAGAGCCGGCGGAACCTCCACGCGAGGATCCGCTCGTCGTCCATCCTAAAACCCGTATCAGACTACAGACTCCTGACTCTGACTCGACTACAGACTCGGACTCCAGACTATGATTCAACCAATTAGAGTGGCGTCTATTCCCGAGTCGGCAGTCAGGGTCGGCCGGTTCTTTGCTGTGATTGGTTGAATCATAGTCGGGAGTCCGAGTCAGTAGTCAAATCAGAATCAGAAGTCTGTAGTCTGATACGAGCTCAACCGGCATCCGGCACTCGTAGGCATTCCGCTCTTCCGCTCCGTCGCTCGTCTCCCGTAGAGACCCTGTGATCAGAGACTGGCCATAAAGCCCGTGTCAGACTACAGACTCTCGACTCTGACTCGACTACAGACTCGGACTCCCGACTATGATTCAACGAATTAGAGGGGCGTCTATTCCCGAGTCGGCAGTCAGGGTCGGCCGGTTCTTTGCTGTGATTGGTTGAATCATAGTCGGGAGTCCGAGTCAGTAGTCAAATCAGAGTCAGGAGTCTGTAGTCTGATACGGGCTTAAGAGTTCGTCAGAAGTCCCGCGAGTGAGAGAGAAGCATAGGCTATCTCACTCGTGGAAATCTGACGAACTCTTATGACCAGTCTCTGATTGACAGGGTCTCGTAGTCCACCGGACACTGCGGCGGCGTCTACCGGGCCGAGCACGTGCGGACGATTTTTTAAACGAGACAAATCGGCCGTCTCTCTCGTTTTCACGCATCAGGGGGTGAAAGGGGGGGGCTGGCGCTAGTTAATAGTTTAGAGAAACGTACGTCCTCGTATTTACAGCTACTTCGGCGAGCGACGCTTATTCGAGAGGAGCTCTACAGCTTAACTGCTCGTCTTCGTTACACATCATCTTACAACGTAACATTTTTTCTTTTTCTTTTTCTTTTTAAATCGCATCACGCATACCCGCACACACTCATGCGCACACATTCCCTCTCTAATCGCACACTGTCTCTCTCTCTCTCTCTCTCTCTCTTCGCTATGTACTATGTACAAAATCTCAGGGTAATTCTCGTTCTCCTCGTAGCGTAAGGTAGCGAAAATCGATCGAACACGGTCTTGTTGGCGCTCCTGAAATTTATTAACCCTACATACGCGTGTTCAACGTACACGTTACCCATCTACGATTTTTTTTTCGTTGTGCAAAAATATGTCGACTACTTTTTCCCCGTTCCTTTTCCGTTCGCCTGTCCCGCCCTGCGTCTGCCATTCCGCAGCCTCTCTCTCTCTCTATCTTTCTCTCTCCTTGTATATCGCGGCTAGAATTTACGTGGCAGCCAAAGGGGCACAGCCGCAGATACGCCCGTGTCCCTCGAGTAATTGTGCCGAGAAACGAATAGATTCCGTTTATCTTGAATATACCGGCGTCCCAAGACGCGCCATGCGCGCAACGTCTAACGTCAGCGCTCAACTTTCGTTCTATGAAAGACATGGAAGTAGGAGATCTCCAGCGTGGCTCTTCATACGTCGGTCATCGGCGAGCTACCAAAGAGCGCGCGTTGATAAAACATGCAATGCAGCGCGAAGGGAATGTATAAATCGAATAATAAACGCTAATCAAATGCGATCGAATCGAGATAAATCGAGACAGGCGGAAAGAGATTAGAAGATAGAACGCGTATAATTAGTAAAATGCAGCTGCGAAAAACTGAACGAGGGAGGAAAAGAGAGAAAGACCAGATATTTTTTTCGCGGTGTAAAACGGAATATTTCAATATTGGATAGCGTATTAGCGTGTCCGGTAAAGCGAATTCTCTCGCAGGAGATACTCGTCGGAGAGAGGAAAATCGAGGGCGAATAGTAAAAGGAAAAATAAAAACATCACCGCCCGAGCGGGCAGTAATGGCTTGACCGACCCTCACGCTTGATAAATACCGTCGTATTTCATTAGCGAAGTAATCAGCGAAGAAGATTACGTCCAACAAGACTCGTTACGATCGCGTTGTACGTGCAGCACGACATCCTTTTTCGGTGGAGTACACTTAAAGTATTTACGTGTCCTTCCTTCCTCTCCTAATTGCGCCTACGTCGTGGTACACGAGACTAAACGGCCGCGACCGCGGCCAGGGTCTTACGTCGATCCGCGGATGGTGGACTCGCGATCGGTCCGCGACCGCGACGTCTCCGAGATTGCATTTACGAGCAAATGAGATCACAAACGATGTGCGAACGAACGCGCGGCCAAGTCGTTTACCGTCCCGCGCGGGGACCATCCAAGATACGACGAAATGGGGGAGAGGTAAGGGTCTGAGCGGAGAGATTGTCCGTAACTGTCTACGATTCCGTCTGGAGACGCAAGTAAAGTCAGCGTCGGAAGTCAACGCACAGAGAATTGTCGTGTGTCGCCTCGCGACGCAACGGATGCGACATACGTCCACGACAATTCTTTGTGCGTTGACCCTCGACACCGACTTGGGTTCTTGCAGTGGAGTCGTAAACGGTTACGACGATCTTTCTGCTCGAGCCCTAAATCGGAAACGCGGCCGGCGAGATTTGGCGAGGTGGATCGGCCTGCTGGACCCTCCGGATTCGTCCGTTTTGTCCGAGGGTGGAAACGCCGGTGGCCGAGACGGACGTTTTATAATTTATCATGCTACAGAGCGTTCGCAAAAAGTGTCCGCGCCAAAAAGTGGAACGTATACCGACGCACGTAATACGATGTCGCGATCGATCATCTTAATACGCTCGTCGGCGAAACGCGTTTGCGCTCCGTTCTGTTACACTTGCGCGTCTGCTCGCGCGAGCGAGGGGAAAACGAAACTTTGCCGACGCGTTCGATCGACGATACAAAAATATAAAGAAGAAAATATGGACATGCATATTTAAACGAAAGGAAGAAGGTGGAGGGAAAGGGAGATAAACATTCAACAAACAGGCGTCGCGCGCGTGATCTCTACACGCCGCGTACAACTGTAAAACGGAGTGACGCGTAGAATCCGCACGAACGTACCAAAAAAAAATAAAAATAAAAATAATGAGTGTGTATACACTTTTAGTGTCTATCGTTAGTCCGAAGTATCGCGGGCTGAAACAGCGAAATTCGTTGTCGTCGAGATATTTCGTTTGCTCCTTCGTCGCGTCCAACTCGTGACTCGCGGAGCGGCGCGAAATACAAATTGCAGAGCGTCGCCGGGGAAGAGTGGGGGGGCGCGGGGGATATTTCTTACGTTTGCGCAAAGTACCTTAGAGAACCTCGCTCCGTTATTTACAATTGTTCGGTCGCGCGATGAACACTCAATGCGCCGTCGCCCTCCCGGGCAACGCGACAGTCCGACAGACAGAGATCCGAGGGACGTCCGGGAGACGCGTTTCCCGGCACGTTCCTCAACTCCGGACTGCTCGGGTTGGCCGGGGGTTGTTTCGTCACGAGGTAGATAACGTCGAAATGATCGTCTCGCCGATTTCAGCCCGACGGCCCGCGCGACGCGGCTGATCTCGAGAAAGAAAAAACTGTCCTCCTCCGCGCGAGAGAATGCATCTCTTACTTATAAACGCTACGCCTAGTTACTTACAAAACCGCGGCGGCGTTAATCGCCGCCTGGTTGATAATTATTTATGTAATAACGCCGATCGGCGCGGATATATCGGTGAGCCGCGCGCGATTCGCTTGTCGTTTCGAAGAGACGGCGCCGTCACCCTCACACTCGTGTATATAAAAGTATAAAATGCATCGAACGCCGCATCGAGTCTTCACCGATAGGCGTATAGCCGGGGACCAGCCCTCGCGCGTCTTTGACCCGCGAGATTTTCCGTCGGACCTGCCCTCATTCTTTGAAACATCTCCCCGTTTACACCTACGACATCCTTTCTCGCGTGAGCGGCCGGAAATTGATGTGTCTTGGTACTTTTAACACCGTATTCGGAGAACGCAGTCCCGCGAGGAGTGTGCGCGTCTTTTGCAAAACGCGCTCGACGGAAAGAAACATCGACGAAAGCGAATTGTAAATGCGATAAAATAATGAGTGCCGTGGCAATAAGACATTTTAACAAAATGACGCCGCGCGATAATGTGGCATGGAGGAATGTCCTCGTGGGCCGCGTCGAGATTGACCAATTGAACGTATAACGATTAACGCATTGAATCCGGGCTGGCAGTTAATCGTCTGAATCAACAACATTGTAAAATATTGATAAAATTGCCGGATTCAAAGCGTCAGCAGTAAAATAATCAATCTCCCGCGGTTTGAAGATAGGCGAGAGCCCAAGCGCTGCGCTTTAGATGATAAATGATTTATGATTTGGATGATTATCTCAACTTTTCAGAAGATACTCGAGATTAACGTTCAACAAAACAAAAAATACATACATTTTAAACAATAAATTTCTTAGAAAGTCTTAATTAAAGCCTAGAGTCAGTTATCGGTAAATTAAATGTACGAGGGAAGACGACGCGTCGCGCAGGACGCACCGTCCTCCTTGTCGACGGTTGGTAATTCCTCCGTGGAGACCGTATCCTTGTGGCTCTCCAGGTATACTCTTGGCTCATTCACGAGCACTCACGCATATACTGATATCACTACCTGTAATCATTGCACTCGAGTCACTTTCACAATTGTTCCGACAGAATGATCACTCTGAGCGTCTGGACATTGTCGTTGTCGAGAAGTTTGTTGGACCCTTTGAACGATACCTTGTCCTCCTCGAGACTCTCGACGGTCGTGTGCTCGCATCCCTCCGCTTCGGCCCGCTCCTCTCCCGGCGGATCGCCCCCCTGTTTCGCGCCCGTTCTCGCGAGCAGCGATTCGCGGGGCGTCTTGATCGCGTCGACCGCCGGGACGTCCGAGTCGTTGCTCTTCGCGCATCCCATCTGCGATCGTTCCCGCGTAACTGGACTCTGCGACGGGTCGGCAGGCTTTCTGGAAGCGGAATTAGCGGCGGTACACTTGGCGGTGAATTCCGGAGATCTATGACTCGGCGGCCCGCGGGCCGAATCCACGTCCACGCAACGGTTCGTCAACGGGGATCGTCTCGAAGGATCGTTCCGAAGACGACGCAGGGTAGAGCCGGGCGAGTACGGCAAGTGCGGTAGCCTCTCCGTGGCTTTGGAAACGTCGAGTTTAGTTCGCGGGCTTCCGCTTAGCACCTTGGAATCCGCAGAATGGGCTCGGGCGTCGACCTCGTCCGGGCAGGCCTGCCCCTCCAAGGATGACGGCCGTTCCAGTAGACAACCACCCTCGAACACGCGAGGATTCACGTCGGCGTCCACCTTCAACGTTTCCGCTCGCGACACCCCCGCGGCCTCGTCGAGCAACTTGGTCGTCGCGCCGCCGTTGTGTTCCTCCAGCTGATCAACTGCCTCGGGAACAGCCTCCAGAAGTCCGGAGCGATCGACCCGCAACGATACGCCACGCGCGGCTACGTCCTCCGCACCGGTGAGCACGCAAGGACGCGGACACGTGACGGGATCCGTTTCCGCGATCTCCAGCAATCCGGACTTGTCGATTCGCCGGACCGTCACCGGGGCCGGCGCGCCATCCAGGTCGCCATACGGCGTTAACGAGTGACGATTCCTCGCGTAATAGTCCTCCGCGGGCAACAGCGACGGGCTACGTCCTAAACCTACGTCGTACGCCGCGCGATGCGGAAAGTGGTGCGGCGGACGCGTCGGAAGACCCAGTTGCGTAGTCGTCGTCGTGGCCGTCGCGATCGGCGGCACGGATGGATTCTCGAGGACGATCTCCATACGATGGCGATGGCGATGGCGGTGATAGAGGTGATGCGGACGATGTTGCGCCATCGTATGGCAAACGGGGGCCTGCTGCTATAGCCAGGTGGTACGCGTGTTTCCGGCTCGTGAGCCGGTAGGCAGGTCTCAAACGATTATTTCCCGGATGATCCTACGCCTATTCGGCGTGGAATAGCCGGACTCGAGGCTCTCGTCGTACGAGAGGCTGGCCTGTTGCGGTGGCTTCGTGTCCTCGTCATAATTCTCCTGGTACGGCAGACCCGACACGTCGTAAGGCGAATCTGTCGGAGATACGGCGGACGATTAATACGAGGGCGGAATTACGAGATTGCGGAAGAAGAGGGCAATGGACAATAGGGGGTGGCAAGGAGGGAGGGAGCGGAAGAGGAAGGCCGAAACAAGGCCTCTCTGACGGCGGAGGAGGCATCGCGAAACAATGTGGTGCGGCCGCGGAAGATCGATGTAACGTACGATATAATCTATAACGCTGCAACCCGGCACGCACGCCGGCAACATAGGGACTGTCATTAGAAGCTAAGGCAAACTGGACGGGGGAGTCACGTGAAACGATCGTAAGGCTAATACCGACCGACGTGTTTCTGAGACTTGACGACGGCGGCGAAGGGCTCCGTGCAGAACTGCTGCCGGCTTAGATTATGGTTTTCTCTGTAGTCCTCTCGCTGCGGGAGATAATGAGGGTGCGTGGGATAATCGGACTCCGTGGTACCGTATCCGGCGAGGTCGTACGGCTGGTTGACACCGTTCGCCGCGGCGGACTTCATCTGCCATATGGAATCTTGCGAATTGACGGAACCGCCGTTGTTGGAATTCGAGTAACTGTTGTCCATGTAGCCCATATTCACGCCTGGGAAAAAGACGAACGCGTGTAACATATTTGCATATCTCGATACGCATTTACAGACGCGAGTCGGAAGGGAAATACAGCCACGGACAAAATTTCTCGGCACCTTCCTGATCATTGTACTGCGAATCTAAGCGTGCTACTTTTATACACATGTATGTGTAATTTGGTGGAGTACATTTTGTACATTTTCTTCTGTTTAAAATTGCGACACGTGATTTGACAAGCGTCATTTACACATTTCTTGCCGTTTAAAACTAATCTTTCTAAATGACAAGAAGTGTGTAAATGACGTATGTCAGGTCATATGTTGTGATTTTAAATGGAAAGAAGCGTGGAAAAAGTGCTTGACCAAATTACACGTACACGTGTATAAAAGTAACACACTTAGATCTCCAATGTATGCTGTACCGAATCTAACACCAGAAAGATTTTTGTTTCAAAGCTGTTTACTGCACAGAAGCAATAAACGCTGCACTCAACAATTTTTAAAAACTAATAAGAATCAATTTTTCTTAAAATTGAAATTTCCAGGCATTAAGTTCAGTACAGTACAGTGGTTAGGAGGATGCCTAATAATTTTGTCAATAGCGGTATTATTGGGACCAACTCTATCTGCGACATTTACCGTTGATATTGTGATTAGGCTGATGGTAACCGTATCCCGATTGCGAATAAGCGGGCGTCTTTGAATCTTCCAGAGCCAGGGCGTGATCCAGGCTGTGCTCCAGTGCTTTGTTCTCGGCATAATACGGTGGCGGTGGTTGGGTTTGCTGACCGTTACCTGCCACGAGGCTCGGCCGGACGCTACGAAATAAAGGAAGGAATCCGATGAGCCGTGCCCTTCTTCGATCCAGGCGACGCATCGTTTAGCGTCTACGTCTGGTCTTCATTTGCAGCGAGCATTACGTTGAGGATACTTACGCGTTCGAGTCCATTTCGTAATCTTTCGCCTTGGTCGCGTGTTTCCGCCGGCATCGGCAAAACAGTAGCAGCAAGGCCGCGAAGAGTAGAAAAACTGCTCCGCTTACTATCAGGGCGATTAAAGTTGGCGTTCCGAGAGAACCGGCTTGTGCAATGTAGGATGGCCCGACTGCGCGAGATATAAAAAAAAGAACGCTTGAATTAATAAAACTTCTCGACGAAGGTACAATTTCTAACTTCGTTTCTGGTTACATTTTTATTTTAGAATCACGAATTAAAGGAATAATATGTAAAAAAAGACACTTATTGATTATACTATCGTTCTGTCCGAAGGGTATAACGCTTTTCCATTATAAAAAAAATTGTATTATTAATAAGCTGGGGAAGATATAACAATAATTTGGGACGAACGTCCATTTAGTCGAGAAACCGACCTGCTCTCGAAATTTATTGGGTTGATGCATAAATTCGTCCCGTTTTTAAACATTCATGCAGTTTGTACACGAATTCGATTTGCTATCAACTTGACACTTATACGACGTGTTAAACATATGAAAGTAGCAATTGAACGGAAACTTCACTGTCAAATTTGCGGTCGTCGATTCATATTTGTGAGTCGTGTAAATTTATAAAGATGGATAAAAATAAGCATCACTTTCGGCATATTATGCTTTTTTATTTTCGAAACGGCAAAACTGCTGTTCAGACCAAAAGAAAAACATATTCTGTCTGCGGAGAAGATGCTATTAATGATTCCACCGTACGTAATTGGTTCCGACGATTCCGTAATGGAAATTTTTATCTCACGGATGAGAAACGTTCTGGACGGCCTCCCGAAATTGACAGTCACGAAATCTTGGCCTTGATTAAAACTGATCGTTATAAAACAACTCGCGAGATTGCTGATATCACTGATTAAATGTATATCGGCAAAATATAATAGGTATGAAATTTGTGGTTGAAGAACTGGACGAACTTATGCACCAACCCAATAATATTGAAAAATTTGTATTTATAAACTGCAAGAAGTTCTTCAAGTTGTACTTGTTGTCTAACAGAAAGTTTCATATAATAGTAATTGTTGGAAATCATTCGACGTGGTTTAAATTAGCACTCGAACTTGTTAGACATTAATTTTTTCCAGTATAAAAAATTTTGTCTGATTTAACGAATTAACGTGATCACGTTCTAATTCCATCAGTATCGTATTATTATTTTAACTGATCAATATTAAGCCAATCGAATTGATTTTCGCGACCTAAAGCTTATTAATGCAATCTTTGAATAATGGAGAAGTTAGCGGATCTGGAAATAAATAGCTTCGAAATAAATTTCTGAAAATATCAATTCTCTTCCCCGTTTGATTATCTCGCGTGATTATAAAACGGACTTACTCTCGGCTTCGGCGTACTCGCCGCATTTCTGCCGGTCGGCTTTGAGGCACAGCCTAACTCTTAGTCGGGGTTCCGAGTCGGCCGCTTCGGGATCGTCCAATACTCCCTCTCTTTGAGTAGGATTACTTCCGAGAACTTCGAGGGGCCACTCGTCGACGATTCGCCATGAACTATCCAAGCCTCCGTCGAACTTCTCGATAGACGCCACCAATGCCAGGCATGTGGCGCCCACGTTAATAGCGAGCGTGCTACTTTCTGGATCGAAGCTAACTCTGAGCGGCGTGGGTATCTTGGCCACCGCCGTAGTGGCGGTCACCTCGTCGGAATAATCGGAATGGTTCTTAGTGTTGTAGACCTTCACCTTGAAGGTATAGGTCTGATGTTGCTCGAGACTGGTCACGTTACACGGGTTCGATCGCCGACAATCGAGTTCCTGCCATTGACCGGCTGGTCCCCGAGGAGGCGCGCAGTCTGGCGCGACTATCTCGTCGCCACCGGCGACTCGTCGATACGAAACGAAGTATTTCGTGATCGGTAGGCCACCGTCGAAGCCCAGCTGCCACAAAAGGGTGACATACGTGGGTCCGATCTCCATCGCGGTGATGTTGGTCGGTCTCTCCGGCGCTCCCTTAGGCTGCAACCTGATGGTGGACGTGACGCTACCCTGAGCGTTGGCGGCGCGGCAAGTGTAATCACCGTAGTCGGACTCGCGGATGTTGGACATCCTCAAAACGGACGTGTACGCGTCGTAGTTGTCGCTCGTGGTGGTGATCTCGTAGTGGCCGTCGCTCGAGGAGCCCTGAAGAGTCGCGGCGTTGGTGCCGAAGCTCCACTGGAACTCGGGTTTCGGCCACGCTTGAACCTTGCAGGCCACCTCGGCGGTCTCCCGGAGATTGTAGGCCACTTTGCCGTGCTGATGGAGAACTATGGGCTCGTGCTCCACCTTGAGCATCATCGTGGACTCGACTTTCTTCACCTCGTTCACGAAGACGCAGGTGTACTTGCCGCGATCGCTCGCCACGATTTCGTCGGTCTGCGGACGAGCGTGACCCAGAAAACTCAGCGTGGAATTTACGGTTATTACGCTACCGTGGCCCTCCGACGCCGTCGTAATTACTTTGTAGAGCCTCTCGTCGGCCGTTAATTCTTGATCGTCCTTCAGCCAGCGCACGCTAGGCCGCGGTTTGCCCTGCGCTACGCAGGATACTTGGAACGACGACTCGCCGACCCTGCGATAAGCAAGAAGACGTTACATTATTAGGACGGGAGATATATCTTGTTCCCGCCGAGCTATTTCATTCGTCGAGCGGTGCATAGCTCACGGAACAAGTATGTGGAAAAAAGCCAACGTAAAAGTCCGCAGACTTTCCACAATTACATCAACGACATTTACGACGTGGTACGACACGGTACGACTTGAAAATTAAAGGACAATGGAAATGAAGAAAATACGTCGCAGCCTTGTAAAAAGCGAATTGTCAGGGAAATAAATTGCTATCTCTCGTTGCATGTAGATACCACACGCAAAGTGCATGTCTCGGAAAGTAATCGTTTCAGAAAATCATCTTTTCAAGCTCTTGAAAGGTTGTAAGAGTCAAGGAATAAAAATTGAAAGATAATTATTTATGCGGTTTGCAAAAATAACATTTTTCGGGGTGAATACTTTGGCGATTCGAGAAGCGGGGCCGGAGAGAAAGCTCTACTCACTTCCTCGTGACATGGGGCTGCAGCTTGGTGAGAATCTTGGGCGGCTGGTGAACGGTCAGGTGCACCGACGCGGGCTCGCCGTTGCCGATCTCGTTCATGGCATGACATTTGTAGGTGCCCTCGCTGCCGAGGTGCACCGAGTCGATCTCGTACTTGGAGCCGGACGGTGACGACAACGGGATCAAGTTACCATCGACCATCTTCCACCACTTGTACGACGGCTCGGGATAACCGGCCGGGCTGGTCATGCACGTGAGTATCACCCGCGAGCCCTCGACGGCGACCGGCGAGTCCGGGGTGACCCTGGCCGGGCCGGGTTTGTGCCGCACGCGGATCGTCACGCTGGCGAAGGCCGAATGGTTCCTGCGCTCGCCGCCGGTAGGGTGAATCGTGTTGACGGCGCGGCACGTGTAGTTGCCGGCGTGCTCAGCGGTGACACGGGTCAGTCGCAGGATCGAGCCCGCCTGCCTGAACTCCGGTCGGCCGTCTCGCAGCCACTCGATGACGGACGGCGTCGGGTTGGCGGACACGTTGCAGTGGACGGTCACGCTGTCCTCCACATCGGCCACCCTGATGGATTCACCCTCGATCGACACCGTCGGCGGATAGAGCACGTCCAGGCGCAGGGAGGCCTCGGCGGTCTTAGCGACCCCGTTTTCCGCCTGGCAGGTGTACGTGCCGACGTCCTGCAGCGTCACCCTGGCTATGTTGTGCTCGAAGTGGGTGGCGATGAAACTGCCGTCCCGCCACCAGCGCACCATGGGGACCTTCGGCTTCGAGTCCACGTGGCACTTGATGGTCGCGGTGCCGTTCACCTCGACCTTGAGCGGGTTCTCCGGGCCGACGGACACGCGTGGGAAGTAGTTGACGTCGAGCGTCACCGTGGCGTCCAGAGTCTCGCCCTCGCGCATCGCCCGGTTTCTCACGACGCACCGGAAGCTCTCCCGGTCGTCCTCCCGCGTGGGCTCCAACGTCAGGATCCTGCCGGTGTGCAGGACGCTGGTGCTGTTGCCGCGGTACCACCTCACCTCGGGCTCGGGGCTGCCGCCGAAGGTGTTACATTGCAACTCCAGCTTCTTGCCCTCCGTGGCCGGTGCGGAGGTCGGCGATATCGTCGGCGGACCCGGCGCCTTCAGCACCGTCAGGGTGATGTACTTCCGGTGGTAATCGGTCCCGGTGCCGCTGACCTTCAGCTTGCACTCGTACTTGCCGTTGTCACGCTCGTAGGACACATTTCTCACCTGCAGATCGTAACGGCCCTCCTGCAGATTCATGTACACCTTGTAGAACGGCGACAGCGCGCGGTCCTCGATCGCCGCGTTGTCGAGATTGTGGGTCGTGTGGGTCAGCCAGAAGCACGTCACGTTCTCCCGTGGCGGCGGGAATCGGCACTGCAACTGCACCGTCGAGCCCTCGTGCGTGTCCATCTGCGCCTCTTCGACGTTCGCTCTGACAGGTGCTGAAGCAAAACGAGTGGAGTTCGTTAAAGCGACGACAAACATCGAGACCGACTCAACTAATTTAATTAGTATTTCAGAGCAAATCCCCGCTGAGAGAGAGGGGGGGGGGGTGCATACGCGTCTCCCTTTAAACGCGTTTGTGTAAAATATATATTTTTTCTTTCGCATTATAGCCGCAGGCGGTGACAGCGTTAACGGACGATCGATCGGCGTCGCGGTAACCCGATAACCCGGTGACCCGATGAGGAAATCGACCGCAAGAGAGACGCCCGATGTGTAAGAATCGATCGGCCTCTCCATCGTCGAGCTTTACAGCTTCGCTCGTACACACATTTTCCATTAAGACGGAATAAATTCGCGGGCGCGCGAACGGCAGCGTCGAACGCTGCGCTGCGTGGGACCGAGGCGATAATAGCGATACAAATTACCTGTCGGAAGTCAACCTAGTTTTTGGGTTCACCGACTCCCCCGCCCGTGAGTTCGCCTTTTACGTAATTAACGCCGGGGCTGCGCGTGCCGTTTCGCCGGGCGGCGTTGACAATACCGATTGTCGTCGCCGCCGTGCGTACCGTGCGCGATTAAAGCAGGTGAGGGAATAATACGCCCGGCATTTAGCCGACGCGAAGGGCGTCGGATATTCGCGCCGTGTCGCATTTACGAAATAATGAACAGGCGAAAACGGTTCGTCGGCAGCTACGGTTAGTCGCGGTGCGAGCTGCGTGAATTCCTGCCTTTACGACGATGACGAAGACGGCGGCGGCTGCGTACCTCAACGTACCGTTAGAGAATATCCGGGACGTTGGCATTCTCTGCACAGAGAAATTGGTTTACCCCCGCTCGCGTTTTCGCCGTAAAGCCACCCAATTAAAGCGCGAAGGATGATAATGATCATAAAGATTAATTTCGGGGAAAGAAACGCGGCGGGGAGGTTGAGAAAATTTTTTAACTTCGGAATAACTCGTATCAACTCGTCCGTCACAATGGCATACGTTCAACTTTAATGCCCGCGTGTGTCTATAGAGACGTACCATTGTAACGCGTGCTCCAACAACGAGCATTGAACGAGCTCGTTTTCCTGTTTCTCTCTCTCTCTCTCTCTCTCTTTCCTCCCCTGCCCTCTCGCTTTCTCATCTCTGAAATTTCGCGCTGAAATGCATTTCATAAAAAATCTATTACGTACAAAGCTGTTACGCACGAATAACCAATATGTGTTACATTTACAATTTTGTAGATTAATAGAAGATAAAAAATGCCATGATACAAAAGCGATGACCATGATGGGAAAAAATTTTTCACATTCATAAACGTGTGCTTAGCAGCGCAAATAGTTGTTAAATGTCTCCCATTTCGAAATAACGTTTGTTTCGCGTGCGTAAGTGTTTGCAAGTTGAAGTTTGATTGTTATATCTTTACAGGAGAAATTAAAAAAAAAATATCAGCATTCCAATGCTGTTTGTACGTTTCGTAGCGGAACGGTGGAAACAAAACGTCATTCCCATCCACTTCTCCATCGCACCGTTACGTTTGTTCAGTGAATATAAATGGCAAAAATTACCGAGTATGAATTTTCGGTAATATTTCATATAAATTAAAAAGGGGGGAACACACACACACACAGAATTCAATTTTAATTAAAAAATTTAATCATAATCGAAGGTGAGAACAATGACGTAAAATAAAAGGGATGCGATTTCAAAGAAAAAAAAACGTCATTGATAATTATATTTATCCGAGAAATTATTATATCGATAAATATTTTTGGCAATCGGCCAATTTAAGGCCATTTAAATTGAATTATGCATTTTCTTTGGACCGTCAATCCGTTCGCGAAAAAGAATAGTCTTCAAATCGGCCGACGAAAAATGTTATCGAGAATGCGTGCATCCACAGAAAAAATTTCCGGATCCAATGCTATTATATTACATTTCAATGTAACATAAAATAGGATCGATACAGCGCCAATCGTATTTATTATAGAGAAAGGAATATTTTAATCTTAAATGAAAAATTCTAAAATCTATAATAGAATAAAATAATAGTATGCATCGTCTTTTGTCGAATATCGTGGTGCCAACTTTGTGCGTTGTAAAATGGAGGAAAAATGTATTCTAAACGCAAAAATATCTAAACTTACATTTATATTAGTTACTCTTGTCTCAATATAGTAAGTCAATCTTTGCTCTCTCAAAAAATTCGCATGATTTGATAACTGCAAATAACACGACTGAAGCATGTCATATCGCACAAGCGAGACAGCCAATCAGCATCTCGGGAAAGCGACAAAAAAACTTCGAGACTTTCGACTATCGACTTAACACGTCTTTTTTTATATAGGACTAGCATACAGCGCGCGCCTCCACTGCTTTTCTTACTTTTATTTCTTGATTACAATTTGATATATAATTTTATATAATTTTTATATAAACCATGAGTGTAAGTTAATATAAAACTTCTGTCACGTCATCACGCGAATGCGACACACTGTGGCCGGCGAGACCCGCAACGACCAATCGGCATCGCGGAAAAGCGGTAACAATACGAGCGCGACCGAGAACGCACTTCGGGCGTTTCATACTTTTTTTTTATAGAGGAGGAGACAGGAGACATTGTCTTATTTTTCGTCGTTTTTTAAAAAAGAGATGTTACCAGCGCGAATGTCGTTAATATCGAACAGTTGAGGCCTCTTTTCCGCGATGCTGATTAGTTTTCTCGAAGTGTGCTTCACTTCTCTTTTAGATTCGTAGTAAATAAAGATTTGCAATTTAGAAATATACATTTGTATACACCAACTATTGAGGTAAAATCTCTAATCTTAGTAATTAGAATTTAAGTAACAATGAATTTTGTCTCGAAACATTTTCTCGATTGAACAGAATTAATCGTTAATTTAATCAATATCAATAAGTCCGCAGAATGATACGCAAAACGTAGTAACAGTCGCGGAACAAAGTAATGTAAAGTATTAAGTACGGAATTTTCCATTACGTAGGTTATAGGACAACGAATTCTCAACGTTTTTGTTGTTTTTCACTCGGCGCGGTATCGTGCGACGTTACGCGAGCCATAGTTTACCTGAAGGTCGCCGCGCTATCATTCGCTCGCCGAACGTCGTGCCGGCAAGCAGTGGCGAGAGTCGCTCCGTGCGCGGTATTACTTTTGCGTTATCGGTTTCCAAGACTCGATCGCGATAAATGCAGGGATAAAACGCTGATTGATTTGTACACCTTCATCAGTAACAAGTAACGTCCCTCGATTAATTATTAAGTTTCTATAACTTGTAATGAGAAACGAATTGCGTGTCGAGGCGACGGCTCTTTATCAACGTATACATAGATATTTCACGAGACTAACTCATCTAAAATATAAATGGAAATCATGGTATTTTGTCGCGGTTACATCTCGTTTACGCACCGCGCTTTTAATATCTATCGATTTCGTGTAATCTGTTCCTTTTTCAGGAAAAGAGAGAAATTTGTGCGACTTTTTCGCAACTCGAACGGGCAGTAAGTAAAGAAAGTCGCTTATCGCATGTCGTTACATTATGTAAATGTAATCGAAAATTATCTCGATTAACTGTTGCAATTAATAACAACTATTTATCGCTGGAAATTTCGCTCGCATAATTTATTTCGAGGATTAGATTGAATGACAAAGACTGTAACATATCGTTTTGTTGCGGACTACAAAACTACGTCTTTACCGCATATTATGCTTCCGATGCTCGCGTTGCGTTTTATATCGCCAATTCAAAAGTAATTTATCCATTATCCTATTCTTCCAAATCAAAAATGCCAGTTGTTACTTTGAGTAATTTGTATGATAGACAGTCACGCGATATTCGTTAATACGATTTCGTGCGTACGGGAGTGCCCGGAAATTTTGCGCGATCGATGATTTTCGCGAGTGAGTTTTGTGTGAGTGCAACAAGGAAATCTAAGAGGAGGCCTAGGAGGCATCGGGCAACGGCGGAAAAATCGTGAGGTATCTTACATTTTTATGTTATTTGCTACTTGTGCAAAATAAAGCATCTGTTCTGTGTTTTTATTTTATTTATTCATTAAATGATTCGAACGTGGATTCGAATAAGTATTAGAGACAAAACCATACGTATAAAATTTTGAGTTTATATTTAAAAGGAAGACTTTCAATATTCTACATAATTATTTTAATAAGTATCTATTTAAAAAAATATAAAATATAAAGTATATTTAATACAATGATTTCGATGTTTCATAATTAGTCTATAATAATCATATATAGTATATTTACAGTTTAACATACATTATATAATTAACGATGTACAACTCTGCTGTTGCGAATCGTATCAGTGAGTAATAAGTTACTTTTTATTTTAAATTAACGTTGCGCATATAATTACTTCTTTGCATGTATACAAACTTAAAAGTGAATTATTATTAATACGCGAGGCGCGCGTTTTGTCATTTCTAGTTATACTAAATGAGGTTGTGAGAAATAGAATTGCGTCAAGAATAATTTTTGTCCCGGTAAACAGAAATTTTTTCTGAGGGTGTGCTATTTAAAAATTATCGCCGGCGTATCAATAATTTTTCTACGCTGCACAGGCGGTTTTATCATTATAAAAATCGATTTTCGCGCATGACACAGCGTCATGGTGCTCCGCTATCATAACGTTACATCGAACGTCGACACAAATCATTGCGAAAATCGAATACCACAGCGCGGTGACGTTGAAAACTAATAGCCCCGCACTGCCGCGACCACGAAATGTCGCGATATTTACGGGTGGATTTCTCCGACGTCGGTCACCGTTGGACCAAAATTAACTAAGCGCCCGCTCTAAATCGATGATTATGCGACGGGGAAAAAAAAGGAACCTACGGTCGAGAGTCGGATGCGAGGGAAATGTCCATCTGACCGCTCCCGTAAGAGGAGACTCGTGATATTCAACAATGAAGCTTATGACGTACGTACGTTGCGGCGTACGTCTTGTCACGGTTTCCGTATATGGGAACCCTAT